CGAAGGCGGAGGACGTCATGAGGACGAGGCTGTTTCGGGAGGAGTGGTTCTAGGGGAAGCGGGAGGCCAGTCTGGGGATGGCGCCGTGCGGCCAGTGCGCGTGCCTACCCAGGCTGAGCAAGAAGACACGGTGGCAAGGACGAGCATTGCGGTATCACGGGCTGGGGATGGCGCCGTTTGACGAGTACGGTCGGTGCTCGAAGGTGGCGAGTCCGTACAGCGGCGCGTGCGATTCCAGGGCGACGAGGACGGTGCCGGCACGTTGGTCACCGGGGAGAAGACAAGCGCAGTGGACACGGCGGCGGAAGGCGACGCTGATGCGAAGAGTAGCGTCGAGACGGGGCGTAGCACCACGGCGAAGCCCAGCGACGGTGATGTCGTGGTCGGTGACAGAGAGGGTGTCGTGGACAGCATGGAGGACTGGACGGGCGAGCCGCACGGCGGGCCCAGCCGAGTAGTGGTCGACCTCGGCCAACTCTCAGGAGGACTTGCGGATGACGAACGGCGTGACCTCGTCGCCAGGCAACTGGACGCGTGGTTGACGGAGATGGCCAAGGACGGTGACGCGCAGACGTAGAACCCCCCAACCAAGGTGGAGGCATCCCCAGCTGCGCTGGCAACTGCGCTGACTGCAGAGTAAAGACGCCACGACTTGACGAAGGCCAAGGCACTACGGAAACGCGTTGCTGAAGCGAGTGTGGTGGCGGCCGAGAAGGAAGAGGAAGCGCGACGATTGCGGAAGCGAGAGAAGCGGCTAGCACGCGATAGGGGCGTCGGCAGAAGCGACTCGAGCGTGAGCAGCTCACAGCGGACATGGCGGTGGGCAGCTTGATGCTAACGGACTCCATGCTCAAGGAGCCCGACGGGAGCGAGACCAAGGGCGAACTGGCGAGAGGAGTGGCGGCAGAGGCACCGTTCCAGATGCCCGAGCCGAGTGAGGAGTTCAAGGAGGCGCTGAGGTGTAGCGCACGAGCAGCGCAAGCGCTCGGCGAAGTTCGTGGTCGGAAGGACGTCCTGCTGGACAGCCTGGCGAAACTGGCAGTGGCGGAGGAGAACCGCCAAGAGGAAATGGCCGGTGGAAGCATCGTGGGAGAGGTGGACATCCGTGATGGTGCGGCCAAGCAAGTGATCATGGCGACAGCGGGTCTGGACGCAGTGGAGCCCGACGAATGGACGCGGCCCGTGGAAGCGACAATCCGCGTCTCAAGAACGAGGCGCAGATTCGAGAAGCGAGTGCGGAAGGCGAGAGCGCGAGAGCAGCGCCGGATCCGTGAGTGGTTGGCCGCGCGAGCGAAGACAGAGGGCGGCTACGCCGCGCTTGGACGACGCGGAGGCGATGCACCGAGGTTACTGGCGGCGGCGGAGGTACACGCGATTGGCTTTGCGCTGCCGCGCGCCGCCGAGCAGATGATGCAAGCGATCAGGGGCAAGAAGCCCATGAAGCAGTACCGCTACCATAGTGGCAGCGTCTACCGGCAGCCGAGCATTGGCTGGATCGACGAAGGGACGCGGCCAGTACGAGTGGGGAGACTACGGGCAGTCCGTGCACCGGCGACGGACACGTTGCCGACGGCACGAGCGATGATGCGAGAGCAGTGGTGCGACGTCAAGTTGGACACGGGTGCGCAATACACCGTGGCCGGCTTGTCGTGGAAGCGCTTGGGCATACAGCAGGACGAGCTGCCGCCAGTGGACTTCGTCGAGGGGTTCACGGGCACCGTGGCCAGAGTGCTCGGAGTGTTGCAGTTCAAGATGGAGACGCAGTACGGGCAGACAATGTCCGTGAAGGCGCTGGTGGTCGAGGGCGCTGCTGACGAGTTCCTGCTAGGAGAAGATTGGATGCTGGGCAACGGGGTGAAGATCGACTTCACCGCTTGCGAGATGAAGTGGTTCAGCGGGGACATCAAGAAGATCATGCCGTTCTCCTGCACCCGTGAAGGGCCACAGGACGAGCGGGCGATTCGGGTGAGACAGGTGCGTCGGGCGAAGATCGGCACTCGGACCTGTCACAACGTGGAGCTGGCAGTGGCAGCGCCGGAGGGCACTACGGGCGTCTTCATGCCCGCCCCGCGCAAAGAGCTACACATGTTGTTGGCTCCAACGTTGACGACAGCCCGAGGTGGCAAGATCGTAGTCCCGATACTCAACCCGGTAGGACGAAGGGCGAAGCTACCAACGCGTGAGGTGCTTGGCACATGGGCACCGAGGAGCGACGACCTTGACGTGATGGAGCTGGGCGGCGCTTTGAGCAGAGACAAGGTGAAGGAGTGGCTGGAGCGTGAGCTGGGCGCCAACCCCGAGCCGTTATGCAATAAGGACGAACCTGACATCGGGGACATAAGCGCAGAGGACAAAGAGTTGCTATTACGAGTTCTTAGGAACTACCCTGTGCTGGAGCACGAGGTGGAGTACAGCGTCAGGCCGGGCGGGCCGACAGACAGGAGGTGGCTCACGGCGGACGAGTTCGAGACGCTGCTCGATGCCGGAAAGATCGAGGGCGATCTTCCAACCGGGGATGGTGAGTAGTTGTGTGGCCCGTCACACGGCCAACAGCCGCGTGTCCGAGCTGCTGGACGTGCAGGAGTTGACGACAGACGTGATGTGGCGCACCATGGTGGTGTCGGTGACGACGATGTACGACTAGATGCGGCCAGTGGCAGGGGCAAGTCAGCGGGCTGGAGCCACCGACCAACGCTGGAAGTGGGCGATTGAAGTTGAAGCAGCGTGACTGCCGAAGATCGCAGGAGGGACGACGTGTGAAGGCGAGTCAAGGTGGAAGCATGCCAGGAGGCGAGGCGACGCCAGCGGAGCGAACGTGAGGACAAGAAGTGTCGAGTCGACAAGAAGGGGGAGAGGTCCAAGTAGGATAGGAAGGGCGCTGTAGCTAGAGTTAGTATAGGCGATGGAGGGGCTACGGTAGATAGGAGGGAGGAGAGCGGCGGTCGTGTCGACTCGACCCTCAGTTATGATTTGTTGCGGGACGTGCAGCGAGTTGAGACTAATACATTGATCTGCGCCGGAAGCACGGGTTGCTGACCTTCGTACTGCGGCGGAGGGCGTCGGCGAGGTGGCGAGCAGTAAGGGAGAGGTAAGCTGAGGTAGAGCTCGCACATGATGAGGGCAGTGGACAAGTAGAGTGACGGGACCGTGGAGAGAGACCACGGGGGTTGTGGCGGAGCGCCTCGACCGAGGGACAAAGGGTCCACGTGTACCTACGGGTAAAGGACACCTGCGTCCGTTGCATGTAACCGGGCTAGTTGCGGGGAGCAGGCGGCGGGGCTACCCGACCGTCGGTGCCGATAACGCTTCCTCCCAGTCATCTCTATCCGTCACGAGGTGGCGGCCAGTAGCTGTCTGGTTGGCCACTGTAAGAACTGCCTCGTGCTGATGCCACCGCGGCTAACCCGCTACCTAGGTGCAGAGGTCTGCAATCGATGACGGCTGGCTGACGACCTGTAATGGATGGGGCAGGGAGGTTGGCGCTAGCTACAGTAGTAGATATTATGACAGTCACTGAGCGGGAACTTTTTGTCATAGTTTACGCTGAGATTCCCTCTCTAACCATGTTATTGTGGGAAACTGTATTAGCATAACGCAAAAGTGAATTCATAGTTACGCGGTGCAAGGTTCTTACTTTCAATGTCTTAGCTACTATAAATGCAGACAGATGCTAAAATGATGATGTTTGCTGCGTAGTAGAATAATAAACTGATAGCCACATTAAAAAAATGAGTGTTGAAGCAGGTTACGTAGAAGTTTGTGTACCCCGCAGCTCCAAAGACATTACGGGCCAAACGAAAGGCTGAAGCGACGTTGTATACTCGGTATTTTAATAAAACATACTTAGTAGATTGCAAACTAAATAACAGAGAGCTATGGTTACATGACAAACTCAAGAAAAGCACGTACATAGACTTCATTTGGCACGCCGTACAAGTGACAATGTTTTACCCTGCAACATGCATCTACCCATAGTCACTCCGACGTGGGAATAGTGTTTTAAGCTGATAACAGCCAAGTAACGTTACTAAGAGTACTTCCGTCACAAAAAACTCTTACATGCACACAATCGAAATGAATAACATTTGAACTGGATAAAAGCCCACCGGAGCGAAGCGGAGGTGGGTGGCCCTATCTACTGCAACTAACCACATAACTACCGCCGCGTAGCGGCGGCGCTCGGCTAGTCCTAAGAATCAATCAGAAAGACGCGTTGTCCTTGTGTAGATCACGCTTATTCACTAAGTACGAATTCCAATAAGTCCGATTTGCTGCCGAGCGCAGCGAAGGCGGCCCCGTCGCCGAAGGCGACCCCCTCCGGGGCCGCAGGACCCGCTCCGGCCTCTGTAATACTAACCTGCTCACGTATTTTTCGAATTCTGCTGCCTACCTGGGTTTCGTAAATTGTAATATTGCCAACGACACGTATATTCAATTAGGTACGAATATCAATCTTCGACAGGGAATCGAGGCCAGGAGCGTGGCTAAGTACCACACGGGCTTTCCAGCTCTAGTTGATGGCCCTTGGCGCTAGGACCAAGCGTTTACACTATAGCTGGAGTCGTCCGAGGTGGCGAGAGGAAGTCGGGTTGGTGCTGCTGTGTTCCCAGCGTTTTCCCGCGAAGCCTCAAAAACATAAAAGCAAAAACCTATGAGAGTTAGAGATCGGACGCGGTCGTACTCTACTCTCTCGTAGTCACGCATATCCTGGTCGTGTCCTAAATGGATGCTAGGAGTCGGCCTACAAGCCCGATTGATGGGTTGTATGGTCAAAGGGGGTTTAGGCTCATGCTTTCCTCCTCGTGCACGGCACGTATAGGAGTCATGCATTGCAGGCATGTGTTGAATGAATCACTCTGAGTTTTACTCTACAACCGACAAGTGTCTTCCTGTCTCCCTACTCCTTTTTGCCACTCACTCGCAGCGCTAAAGCTGCTAGGTTATGAGCCCAAGATCTACGCGCGAGTGAAGTGTGCAGAACTAAGATCAAGTAGCCCAAGATGAGTGGAAACAACGCTGGCAACGCAAACAATGCTGGTGATGGAGCTGTGGGAACGCAGCAGCAACAATTCCGCGGCAGCAGCAAGCCCCCGCTCTTTGAAGGGACGTTCGAGCTGTATCAAGCGGAACTGGAACTCTATCTGGGCGACCGAGACGCCTGGGAGGTAGTGACCGGTGCCGTAGTTCGGCACGGCACGGATCAAGCAGAACAAGCAACGTTTGACAGGCGCGACCGACTGGCACGGGCGACAATCTTGCGAGGGCTTCGAGGTTGCAAGAACGACGACGCATCAAAGGTTTGCGGGATGACGACGGCCAAGGAGATGTGGGATACGCTGGTGGGAGATCACACGCAGCGCGACTTCTCCTATGCGATGTTACTGAAACGTCAGTTGTACCAGTGCTCGCATACGCCGGGTCAGTCGATGGCTGAATACATTCGGACTATGACCCAACTTCGGCAGTAATTGAGAAACATGGGTGCAGAACATGCAATTACAGACGCCGATATGGCGTGCCTGCTCTTAATGGGGGTTGCGATGACTCACCGTGAGTTACTGGAGCAATTTGACCTTCCGACTCGCCAAGGGAGCCCTCCACTCTCCAACAGGTGACGAATGCTCTCCGGTCTCGCGATGAGCGCGATCGAATGGCTGAACAAGGTGGGGGAGCAGTGGGTGCAGTGATGAGCATGACTGGCGGGGCTGGAAATAATTTTCGTAATGCTCCTGGCAATAGCTGGTAAAATGGCGCAGGCAACTATGGCGGCGGGGGTAATTATGGCGGTTGTGGCAATCGTCAATATGGTGGTGGTGGCTATGATGGTCAAAATGCATGGAATATCGGTGGTAAGAAGCCGATAAAGAAGTGCTACCATTGCAAGAAAGCAGGTCACCTTCGTCGCGACTGCTGGCACTACAAGAATAAATCAGCGAAGGTGAGCGCAGATGGGTCCGGCTCAAAGACGCAGAACCAGAAGAAGAAGAAGAAGGTAGACATCATGAAGGAGGTGTCAGGTGTCATCGACCACATGCAGTGGATCAATAGTGGCCACGATGACACTAGCAGTGATGAAGACGAGGAAATGATAGGCATGGTGCAGAAGAACGAGTTGCAGGGCAATCCGAGCATGTGGATGCTGGACTCGGGTAGCAGCACGCACGTGTGCATCGATCGTGATCAGTTCACTACCGAGAAAAAGTCGCGGGCGAGTTTCAAAGTGTGGATAGGTGATCTGACACGGGGTGTGATGAGCGGCAGTGTTCGTGTTTGTACTCGTGATGGCAAGAACCAAAAGGTCGTGACGTTGCAGTTGGAGAACGTGGAGTATTCTCCGCATGGATCGACTAACCTCTTGAGCCTGGGTGTGATGGAGAAAACTGGCTGGATAATGTCGACTAATCCTCCCGATGAAGCATAGAGAAAGGTGTTCCTAGATCGCGGCGATGTGCGGTTGATGTTCACCAAGCACGGCAAACACTATTGGCTGAAGGCAGTAGATGAGCTGGCTGAGGCGGACGCAATGATGATGATGGCGGTAAACGCCGATGCCAACCCTCTCATGCGGTGGCATGAGCTCTCGGACATTTGAATGTGGCTGCAATCAAGCACATGATGGCGACGGGTAAGGTGTCGGGTATGGATATCCCAAAGGAGTTGTTCAAGAAGAAGTTCACCTGCCTCAGTTGTATGTCGGCGAAAGCAAGAAGAAAATCCTACAAGCAGAGCGCAGCAGAGAAGCGTACGAAGGTAAATTACGAGCGACTCACGTCAGATACGTACGATATGGGGAAATATTTACCAGGTCTGACCGGACTTCGATACTTCCAACTAATTCAAGACGAAGGTTCCCGCTACAAGTGGTGCTTCCCGCTCAAGAAGAAGAGCGACGCGAACGCCAACACCATCCGGCTAATGACTGAGTTGCTGGCTCAAGGTCACCGTATCAAGACAATGACTAGTGATGGAGGTGGTGAATTCGTGAACACGGAGCTGAAAATGTTCTGTGCGTCGCGCGGCATTAGATTCATCCCCACACACCCGTACACACCGGAGGAGAACGCGTTAGTGGAGAAGCTCAATGGCGTTCTCATCGGCAAGATGCGTGCAGCAATGCACGCAGCCAATCTACCTGATAGACTGTGGCCGGAGGTGCTTCCGTACAATGTAGCTGTGGACAACATGAGCTCTACACGGGCGCTGAATGGGAAGACTCCCTCGGAGAAACTATTGGGTAAAGTGCCGGATGTGAAGAAGATTCGTGTGTGTGGTTCGGTGGGCTTCGTTCATGTAGCGAAACAAAAGCGAAAAACCAAGTTGAGTCCGAGAGCTGAATCCGCGCTGCTATTGGGTTTTGGACAGACATCACCTGGATATCAGTTGCTGCACTTACGGACGGGGAAAATTGTGGAAGCACGAGATGTGCTTTCGCGAGGATATTACTATAAGCCGGTCATATATCAACTCGCTGCTGATGGGGCAACAAGCAAATTATAAGCAGATACCATTTGTTCCACTTCCTGTGGAATACGTGGCAACGGAGAGCGCGAGGGGCTCAGCGGCGCAAACGGTAGGTGCGAATATCCCGAAGAATGCTGATACAACTCCGGTCAATAACGCTGGTGCTAACGAAGAATCATCATCCAGCGGCAGCGAAGACTCAGAGCCTGAGGACGACCCGCCGCAGGAAGCGCGGGAGGAAGACGCGGGAAATCATTCCCAACCGCAGACAACTGGACGTCAGCAAGCCGGAGCTCAGCGCGGTGGTGGACGAAGGCCTACTCCACATCAAACTCGACGACAACGCCGAGCAGCAGCTGCAACCGCTGGTCAGCAAGAAAATGGTGAACCGCTTCGAAGATCAACTCGAACGACACGACTTAATGTCAGACTAGACGGGTACGTCCTCACGCTCGAGGAGGAATTCGTCGGGACGCCAGAGTCAGTGGAAGAAGCGACGCGGTCAACTAACTGGCGAGCTGCAATGATGGAAGAATGGGAGTCGCAATTGAAGAACGGAACCTGGATAATGGTGGACAGACCTAAGTCATCGAAGGGTAAACCAGTCAAAGTGCTGACGACAAAGTGGGTGTTTGTCATAAAACGCGACGAAAATGGCAATATCCTACGCTACAAGGCAAGGTTGGTGATCCACGGATTCAAACAGCGATTTGGATTCGAGTACTGGGATACCTACTCACCCGTAGTTCGAATTACGACGATGCTGCTGATTCTCCTGATAGCGCTGTTGCTGGATCTGGACGCTAGGCATGTTGATGTGGAGACAGCTTTCCTGAATAGTCCGCTTTGAGGCGTGACGATCTACACTGAGCAACCGGAGGGCTTTGACGATGGTACTGGACGGGTTTGTTGGCTGCACAAAGGAATTTACGGGTTAAAACAAGCAGCGAGGATATGGTATCAGACTTTGCACGCCTACCTGGAGGAGCTCGGGTTCAAGCGGTGCGCGTACGATGTCGGTCTTTCTGTGAAGCACGTCGATGGCAGAATTGTGATTGTAACCGTGTATATGGACGACATGATGATAGTTGGCAAGACCAAGGACATCGATGGGGTACTCGAGGCGCTGCGCCTCCAATTCACCATGAAGGACCTCGGCCGTGTACGGCATTTGCTGTCAATGGAGATTCACTACGAGCCTGGAGTGATGCTCTGTCTATCGCAAACGGCGTATATAAACGAGCTTCTGGAGCGTTTCCAGATGAGCATGGCTCGGTCAGTCGGGTCCCCGCAAATGCACAATGAGAAGATCGTGCCACTAGAACGTGACGAGACGAAAATCAATGATCCTTCTATCCCATTCCGTGAAATCGTGGGAAAATTGCAGTACCTGGTTACCTGTACCCGTCCGGATATCGCCAATGCCGGCCGATGTCTCGGGCGCCACGCTGGAGCGTATACAAAAGAGAATTTCGCAAGTGCTAAGCGCGTGTTGCAGTATCTGAAGGGTACCAGCACGTTTGGGTTGGTGCATCGCCGATCTGAGGCGAAATCAGCAGCTCAACTACAGCTGCAGACGTAGAGGGGCGCTGATCACGCGAACTGCCCGAACACCGGGAGATCAGTTACGGGATACGTGCTCCAACTGAATGGTTACAGCTTCGGCTTCAAGAGCAAGAAGCAGGACCGTGTCACGGATGATACGTGTAAGTCGAAACTGGTTGCGGCCAGTAAGAGCGTCGAGGACCTGCTGTGGGCGCAGAATCTGCTCACGGAAATAGGCGTGAAGCCAAAGGTCCCGGAGCTGCATTGTGATAATCAGAGCACGCTAAAAGTGTGCGAACACGTCGGAAACTATGACGGTGTGAAGCGGCTAGCAAAGATGAGTCTCAAAATTGCTGAGCTTGTCGAGGCTAAAGAATTGTCGCTGAACTACGTTCCTACGGCAGACAACATGGCAGACATGTTTACCAAGGCGCTCGGACCACAGCGATTTGAAAGGCTGAGGGAGCTACTTGGAGTCAAGGACGTAGTTGAGGCGGTTGCACATGCACGCCTGCCAGCTCGGCATGATCGAGTTGGAGACCAGGATATGAGTTCCGGGGGAGTATGAGAGTTAATGATCGGACGCGGTCGTACTCTACTCTCTCGTAGTCACGCATATCCTGGTCGTGTCCTAGATGGATGCTAGGAGTCGGCCTACAAGCCCGATTGATGGGTTGTATGGTCAAAGGGGTTTTTAGGCTCATGCTTTCCTCCTCGTGCACGGCACGTATAGGAGTCATGCATTGCAGGCATGTGTTGAATGAATCACTCTGAGTTTTACTCTACAACCGACAAGTGTCTTCCTGTCTCCCTACTCCTTTTTGCCACTCACTCGCAGCGCTAAAGCTGCTAAAACCTTTTGTATTGATACCGGGGAGCCTTGAACTACGTGTACATCGGACAGATGAAACAATTGGCGGGAACCCGGGTACCCATCGGGACCCCGGTTCCCCGGTACACATGTATGAGCAAATGTATTGAAGTGTTGGTCTATGACCTACATAGAACGCAGCTAAAGCTCAGTAGGGGAAAGGAAGGTTAATTCACCTTCGCCCTCGTCCTGTGTCTCTCCTCGAAAATCCAGACGCTTGCCTGGTGCAGCGGTACAGTGCTTCCCGGTCTCATCGCTATCCTCCTGCTCATGAAAGATAAACTTGAACATGGTAAGGTATGTTATTTGGGTCTATTCCGTACCGGTGGCATATTTTGAGGGTAGTGCTTCATCGACAGCACTTAGGTATGAGGGTTTAACTTGCCCCGAGGGTACCAATATGGAGGCCAAAAATTAAATAAATAATTCGCGATTTGGTCGGTATCATTTGCGGGAACCCGGATTCCCGCCAATTGTTTCAGATGAAGAAACTCTCGTGGATGCCCCAGTTCGTCACGCGTTCTAAGAAGGTGAGGGTCTTGAACCCCGTCGTCTACACACAAGCACCGCCTTATAGCAAACATTAGCGTTTCCACCGTGTTCGCGATTGATTTTTAGCTAAGCTTAACATGTTCGTAGAGTCAGACGATTTTCATCCGTTCATCATGCAGCGACTTGGGAATGTAAAAGCTGACTGACACGAGGACCAAATCTGCCCTCCTTGAAAAATATGTTTCTAGCTACGCCGGCGTACGTGAAAGATCGATTAGACAACCGGTACCGCGTGCAGTTTGCTTGAAGAGCTTTGGTGTTAACGTAGACTTATACTTCGTGGGTGTATTGTCAAAAGCTCGAACATGTTTGCAGAGTACACTATTCTGCAGCATGTACGTCAGACGTGTGTACTACTCATGAAAGATCCACAAGCGGATCAGCTTTATCGCGCTTGACGAACACCCATCCAACACAAGATTACCAAGTGCGTTGAGGGATGCGATTAAATGGGATACCCAGAAGCCTGTTCAGAGCCAAACTGTTGGTTATGATGCCTACAACGAGTTTTGACCGCCTTGCGGTCAGATATGGAACTATAAAATAACTGTGTGGCGGTAGAAAAAATATGTTTAGCCCAACTGACCGGGAAGATTTTGCCTTTAACGACGGCTACAACACGTCAATTTTCATCTTCTATGATCAAGGACAAGTGAGAATTATACTCCTCGTTCGGCTTTACCTCGATACAAGCACAGCGGCGCTGCCGAGGTCGTGCGGTTGATGCGCATGCCGTCTATTTGAAACAATTGGCGGGAACCCGGGTTCCCGCAAATGATACCGACCAAATCGCGAATTATTTATTTAATTTTTGGCCTCCATATTGGTACCCTCGGGGCAAGTTAAACAAACCATCAAACCCAGGTGCTGTCGACGAAAAACTACCCGCAAATCTGTCACCAGTACTGAATAGGCCCGAATAACGTACCTTACCATGCCCAAGTCCTCCTTACATGAGCAGGAGGTTAGCCATATGACCGGAAAGCACTCTACCGCTGTACCAGGCAAGCGTTTGGATTTTCATGGAGAGACACAGGACGAGAGCGGAGACGAATTCACCTTCCGTTTCTCTTCCGAGCTTAAGCTACGTTCAACGCAGGTCGTAGACGACTCTTCAATACATTTGATCATATGTGGGTACCGGTAGTTTTGGGGGAACCGGGGTCCCGATGGGTACCCGGGTTCCCGCCAATTGTTTCATTTGTACAACTCGTAAAATTACTATTGAAAGTCGATAAATTAATTTATATACTGTTTCCATAAAACATTGTGTGTCAAACGTATATCATGATAATCAGTATGTCGTTCTGCAATTTTACCGAATGAATTTCCCGTATTTTGTGCGGAAACGTGTGCTCGAAAACGCGTAAATTACGTGGGCAAAAGGTGTCTATTGAGAGTAGTGCAGCGAGCCGACGAGGCGAGCGGAACGGGTCCACTACTGCCGTAGCGAAGCGTAGGCAGCCTGCTCTTATAGCGCTGCAAGCATTGCGAGCGAAGCGCCCACTAACAAAAAATTCACCGCCGCGTAGCGGCGGCGCTCGGCTTCAACGCAAGGATGGTTCTGCCTCGCAAGGACCTGCTACATGTCACTCTCAAGACCGATGAGGTTGCGCCAGGAGTTGATCGCGAGTCGGCGGCATGGAAGACGGCGGACCTGAAGGCGTTCGCGATCCTGAGTCTGGTGTACCAAGCCATGGTTCGCGATGCAACTTCGGCGCAGAACGCATGGGGGATACTGGAGACGTCCGCAGTCTCCACAACCGCACTCAGCTGAGACGACAACTGCACGAGTTTCGGATGGCGTCGGGTGGCAACTTACTGGAGCATCTATTCCAGTTTGACACGCTGTGTATGATTATCACTGCTGTCGGCGACCAGCTCGCCGAAGACAAGAAAATGGTGTTCTACTGGGAAGTCTCTCGTCTGAATATGATTTGATGGTGAACATCATTGAGAACAGTGCTGGCATCGAGCTTCTGGGCGCCAAGGAAAGGCTGCGCTGAGAATACGAGAGGATGCATGTGAAGGTCGAGACTGAAGTGGCGCTGAACGGTGCAATCAGCACGGCCTGCAGCAAGGTTGACAACGCGGTCGATTTTTTCGAGGCACTCAACGCCGAGATGCCACTGACAACCGCGGCTGTGGACACTTCCTTGGCAAGTGTTTCAACTGCAATCAGTCTGGCCATAAGCAAGCTGAATGTTCTGAGCCAAGTGGACGCTCGGGTGCAGGGGCTGGCAAATTTGTTTTCTCGGCCACGGCAGAGCACACGGACAACTCGCTTCTTGACAGCGGGGCTAGTAGCCACATGACATTTTGAGAGTATGACTTCGCTACGTACCAACCGCTGACGACGCCAATCACAATTGGGACCGCTAACGGACAGGCGCGAGGTGTAGGCGATGTTCGGCTCACACTGGCGAATGGGGTTAACGCCTCCATGGTAGACGTGCTCTATGAGCCGTCGCTAGATCGATGCTTGGTCTGCGTGTCTGCGATGGGGTCGAAGGACATTGAGGTGCGGTTCCGAGGTGGCGTCTGCAAAACTGATTTCTGCGGTCGGCACGCAGCATTCATCGATGATTTCTCGCGCTACACGGTGGTATACTTATTGAAGAATAACTCGGAAGCCCTGGACAGGTTCATGCAGTTCAAGATTTTTACAGAGAAACAGTTTAAGCATTCGCTGCATTCGCACTGATAATGGGCACTTGTTGCTGTTCTAACCTGAAAAAAAATGAGACGAGCCTGAAGTTACCGACAGCATCCAAAACGGCATCAAGAACACCCAGACAGCATCCAGAACATCACGACAGCATCCAGACAGCATCCAGACATGATAGAGCGAGTCGTACCATCTGAACTGGCTAGGGTATACATTTCCGGTTATCAAACAAACAGGGATAGAAGCTCGACGGGCGAGCTGACTGCTTGAGAGTGATGTACCTCAAGAATCATGTATTGGTGAGTTAGTCTTTGTGATCTTCTCCTCCTCCTCGGGCTGGTCGACGGGGTCGAAGAACAGGTCGGTGGAATCATCTCCTTCTTGCTCTTATTCTTGTCCTTCTTGTCCTTCTTCTTCTCCACCACAGGCTCCGGCTTCTCCTCCTCCTCTGCTTCCTGCTCCTTCCACCAGCTCCTCCTCGCTCTCCTCCACCTGCGCGTACTCCTCCTCTTCCTCCTCTTCCTCGTCTCCCTGCTCCCGCTGCCCCTCTTTGCTGTCGCTGTCGTCCATGAGCACCGCGAAGTTGACATTCTTCTTGTTCTTCTTCTTGCTCAAGCTGGCCGCCTCCTGCGCGTACGGGTCCCCCTCCTCGTCCTTCTCCTCCTGCTCGGCGTCCGAGGCCGTGCGTAGGCTGATAATGAGCAAGAAGCAGAAACAAATGAAGAATGCATTCGATCTAGTACTACCAGTAGTTGTACCATGTTGTGGTCAGGTACTGTATCTAGTAGCACATTGTCATGTACCTGTAGCGAAGATATTCCAGCGTAGTCTTGTCCACCTGGCCAAAGCATGGCGCTCCAGTAAAGTGCTCAAAAGATAGAAGCACATATACTCCACAGTTGTAGCTGTCACGCTGTATCTCAACGTCAGTGTCAAAAGACCGGACATTGAAAAAGCTGTCGCGCATGGTAGACCGTAGAATCCCCGCGAGTTTGTGCGCGACAGCACGAACATGAAGCGCATACTTCGAGTTCAATAGGTCGTAAAACGTGATGTGCTGTGTAGCTCGATTTATCATGATGCAACACCAGTGATTGTTGTTGCAATTCACCGGGATGAGAACGATATCTCTCGAAGCTGAATCGAGAATGTTTTGAGCGCTTCGCATGCCACAGTAGTCTTGCCGTCGATAATAGCTCCTAAGTATGACGGGTCAACCACAGAGACATTGCTGTGGTGACCAAGCATATTCGCCGCCACTTTGAACAGAGTTTCGCAAGATAGACACCCTTTCCTTTGCCTGCAAGTTCGAGAGCATGCACCTGTAATTCACAGTTCGTTTATATGAGTACAGACAAAATGGCAAGTTTACTTCTATACGTAGCGGACGTACCGAATCGTGTGTCAGTGGCAACGCTTTGAGCCTGTCACTAAGGCGTTCATCGAATTGAACCACAAAGTTGGCTGGCAACTTGATAGAAAAGTTGATTTTAGTTAGCCATGCAAGCGCTTTGTCTATAGCAGTGACCGCTTGCAAGTAGAATTCTCCAGTATGTACTGGTGAATGGTTTTTTTTCTTTGCCCCAGCTTTTTGGAGGACGTTGACAGTGTCAACAACCTCAGAAGGGATGGCAATTCTCCTTCGGGGGTAGTTGCTGAACACCTTGTCGGACAAAGTGTGATTGTGGTTCAGAAGGGCCTTCGTAATGCAAACCATCCATGTCGGGTTCTTCTCACCGACGAGCCGAACGCATGCATTAATCTACGTCAAACAGAGAAATGTACGATAGTGTCAGTTAATCGATACATGTCGGATGAGCGTACTAAACAGAGGAGTCTGGAGCTCGAATCCAGACTGAATCCAGAACATGTAAACGGCACAAGGTTAGCTCAATTACCGAAAGTACTAACCTGAGATGGACACTCAATTCGACAGCTCTATTGGCGCTGGTGCTTGCCTTTGCCTCTAGGATTGTACTTCCCAGCATGAGTACACTCCAGTCCCTTCGCGTACTGTACGAACGAATCGGGTATCTTGCTTTCAGCCTTCTTTACTGTTGCATTCCGCGCCTTCACTGTCTTACTCGTGCGCTTGCGAAATCACTGTTACAATTAAAGTGTCAAAACCATTTCAAAATATACCACGCATTAAAAAAATTAAGGTAGCCATCCTGATACGTGCAAACTTTGATGTAGGCATGAAACTCTTCCCACGATGCGAGAGGGTTTTCTCTAGTGCCGGAGCAATAGCAACAGTAGCGTGTGGGCCATCTAAGAGATGTCCTTGCTGTTCTGGGGATGTGCGTGAGTGTGATAGGCCTCCTGAAGACACTTCGTTAATGAGCATTAGTCCTGACCGTCGATTTTATTCGAGTAAGGAAGCGTAAAATACGCGCCCTCCAAGACGTTGCCTTCACCGCTTCCACCATCGTCAGTTGAGCTGTCTTCGAAGGCCTCGTCTTCACAGCTGCCACTGTCTGCCGCTGAACTGCTACCTCTACCTTCATCACTTTCCGATCGCTTCCTTCTCCCTGCTGCGCTCGCCATTAGAGGCGCAGGCTGCTTAGTTCCGAGCAGTGCCCGTCTTCCACAAGCGATTGGTTTTGAAACTATTCTCGTCGTTCAGGGTATAGTTGTATACACGCAGACGAGCTAGAGACTATTTTAGGGAAGGTTCGGGTTGCTTTTTGATCAAACCATGTGATTTCTATTCTGTAACAGGAACCACTCTCCTGATAATGGCGGCAAATATGTGAACATCAAGTCGGCTAGGTTCTGCGAGACGCACGGGATCATCCATCAGAAGACGGCGCCATACTCTCCGCAGCAGAAGGGAGTCTCAGAACGCATGAACAGAACGCTCATGAAGCTGGCACGGTCCATGATTTACCACAAGAATGTGGTAAGCGCTGATGGGGAGAGGCCGTTAACACCGCGGTCTACACCATCAACAGCATTCCGGACCATCTTGACACACGGAAGTCGCCGTTGAATCGTTTGGGGGAGAAAACCCGACCTGAGCAACTTGCGCGTGTTCGGAGCGAAGGGCTTCGCACACATCGACAAGGCGAAGCGCAAGAAACTAGATGCCAAGGCGTTTGAGTGCATCTTCTTGGGGTATGCAGATGCGTCGAAGGCGTACTGCGTGTGGATCGTCAGCACCAGCAAGCGTGCGATCAGCCGGAGTGTCTGTTTGAATGAGTCGGATGCTACCCGATTCATACAAGTCGTGGCTACTCTGATATCTGACGCTCACATTATATCTCTAAGTAGAATTAAAAAATACCCCCCCCCCCACCGTGCATCTCATATTGTACCCTTCATTAGAACGCCTGGGTCCGCAGTACTTCAGCGAGCAGACCCAGTTCCCGCATTTAAAGTTAGCTTTAAATTGCGCTTTTGCGCGGGATTCTACACAATACACCATATTAGTCCGTTCGGTAAAGTTAATAATGCAAAGGTAAATTTGATGAAACCTATTTCAGCTTCTATGTGTGGCTCCAAACGTCTGCCAACAATATGCTCACGTATTTGTAAGAGATCAATAGAACACCAACTATTACTAATTTTTAAAACAAACTTAACCGTTCATTTTTCTATCGTTATTCTAAGGTAATGCATGATACTAAGTATCCAGCGCACTTTGAGAAAATTAAAATGTACTGTGAATTAACGTGATTTTTTGTCGTTCACTGCCAACTACTGTAAAAAGAATTTGCGCTTGATATCAGAAGTGCAGAACGGTTTTTTTGTATATGCTCTTATTTAGTAAAACGCTTGGTGTTGTAAGTGCAATGTCATAATTATTCGAGGACTTTAGACTACTACTACACAGCAGTTAGCTATAACTTAGTTATACATGATGTTATGTATTTGACTGGGTTATCTCGCACCCAAACTTCGAGTATGCTTGGGCGGGTAAGTAAATTAACCCGGGTTCGGGTGCCCGACGCTCTGCATGCCTGCCTTCATTTCAAGATATAAACCGTCAAGCACTTAAATATGAGCAGAATTACCGGCGTGGGTGAGAAATGTTTAATGTTCATCATATATTTATAACACACATATAATATTACAGTGAGGTTTATACTAAAACAGATTCGTCCCGCAGATTCTGCAGGGCGTTGATAACGTAGTAGCCTTTGGAAGCGGTCTCACCGCGGTTATCGCACTCTTGTATTTGTATAATCCTTGTTTAAGAAAATGATTGTTTGGCCTGACTGAGCAATTTTTAAGTATCATTCAAGTACAGTTACTTAGGCACCCCAATAATATAGATAGTAGCTTGACGGCACTACCTAAGGTGTCAAGTGGTAGTGTTGAGGCACCTGCTAATCTGAACACTGAACCCGTCTGGGTTTATTTGGAAGCAAGACGACAGGGTAGACGGCGGTCCTACTATTTGCATTCGTTCTACATTAACTGACTATTTTAATAGATAAGTAGTATCTGAAGTACTCGCACAACAATCTTGCTGTCATTTGCCATTTAGTGGCCTTGTGACTGGTTTTTATCGTTCACTGTTGATGTTCGTGTTTTTTATAATTTGTTTAAATTTTTAAAATATAAAGCCTTAGGTCTTCAATAGAACCCGCCTTTCATGTTGCTCGTGTGCATGATGAGCTTTGCCCGCATACTCCAGGGCAACGTCGAGGAGGTGCTACAATCGAGCAGGCGGTCTGATGGCAGATTGTGTGGAACACTAATTGTGCGTTTAGTGCGCAAAAGGGCCGGTGCATATGATTGGTCGAAACGCGCTTTATCCAATCCATGGTGCTGAATACTCCTAGTCCAGGCCACTAATAAAAGCGGGTACGGTGCCCCATAGTTAAGAATTCCGAGATGCGACTGTAATTATATATCTGATCGCTGGGTTCCACGTTGAAATCATGTAGTGTAGGGAGAAGTGTTCTGGACCTCGACGGGCGAGCTCTCGGAAGCCGCCCAAACTCCTCATTCCGCAATGCGATCTGCGTTGAGGCGTGCACTTCTGCGACCAACCCCCTCCAAGCCTCCCAGCCGTATTTTCGAAGATTCGAAGAAACGAGCACTGAATATGCGTCTCACTTACATCCTTGCCCTGGTGATTGCAGCCCTTTCCCATACCAGCAGCACTGAGGATTCCAAGGCCGAGATCACGATCGGATACTCGCCTATTATTAGCGACTTGATCGACACGAACAGCGCCCGGCTGCTACGTCGCGTCGAAACAAATGAGGTCGATTTCAACAAAGACGAAGAGAGGGGCTTTAGAGACGTCAAGGATGCGGTGAAGAAGCTGAGCCCCGTCGCAACTGTGAAAAAGACTGCGAAGCAGAAGGAAAAGCTGAAGGAAATAATCAAGGCGGCTAAGAAGGTCGAGGCCAACAGGGTGTGGGCGATGAGAAGGGTTTATGGGGCTAACGAAAATAACTGATCGTGACCCGCTGGCATACATCAATGCAAATCGAAGCCAACCTTACCGCTCGAGCGACAGTCCATAGTCTGTAGTACTTGCAGTATTGTAAAGTCCTAACTCACAATTCAAACAGCAACCAGTTCGTTTTGCGACCCCAAATACTTCCCAAATATTTAATGGTCTGTTCTTGCTAATTTTGGGTAATACATTATTACGAAGAATGGGCCACCACCTTACAAGTACCGAGGCTATCTAACGGGGTGAAAGTGTCTACATATGGAGAGGAGTAGCAGCGAATTCCATGCCCTGATTATGTGGTAGCAGTTGGTCGAAGAAGGAACAAAACATTTTTCATTCTCTCACCGGCGACTTTCCATTTAGTGGGGATACATTTCATTCTCGACAGCTACATTGCATTTCGGATGGATTTATTTCATTCTGTACATTCGAAATGGCTGTTACATGCATTGCATAAATTTTTCGGTTGAGGGCTTGTAGGGCTACTGTTCGGTGCCCTACCAAAACAATTAGAAGGGTAGGATCGAAGCAAGTTTCTGGAACTTTAACCTAGCGTCATTTACAGCATTTCTGGCCTTTAAAGATTCGGACAAAGTTCGTGGCAGGTTTAAGTACAGAAGTCGCTATCATATCTATTTTATCTAGGTGATTTAAGTACAGAAGCCGATATCACATATTTTGCACCTAGGTGTGAAGCATCACTCTGGATCCCGACGGCAAGTTTCGGTTTTCGCGTAGTGGTATGCATACAGCAGTTGTGGCACCGATTGAGACGCAGCGGACGGGGATTTACAAGCCATTACTTCCGGAGATCGACGGTTTGCTGCTGGGAGGCCAAGGTCCCAAAAAGTGTTTGAACACCCTACTCATGAAGTACGATCACTCCGAAGAAGTTCTCGCCTTGCTGCCATCAGCTTCCCAAGTCAAAAACAGAGCACAACTACTGCGAAGACGGGGGGGATTTCTACATTATCACCCACGCTGATGTCATGGTTTGGGCGACGCCAAGACTCTGCACAACCCCAGCAGCATTTTTCGGTCATATGCGCTACAATCGCGAGCGGGACGCTCGGCGCATCGCTCGCCAACCCTTTGAGTTTCAAAATGAGCTCATAGTGCTGGACTGCTTCACCGACACGATCGACAGTGGTGACACCTCGGTCTGAATCATCTTCACTTCGCGAAGGCTTTTTCGAACAGCTCCCAGAACAGTGGCAAGTCAAAATGGCGAGATGTTCGGGGTCACAGGAACATACAAGCTTCACTTCGGTGTTTGGCCGCTTGTGTCTTTTGGCATATTCGGACTTCGTTACACCGCTTCGCATGCGTGTCAACAGAAGGTTTACCCGATGGCATTCATGTTCGTCAGGACGGAGACCGCCTTTGCGTATACGAAGCTGTTTTCCGTATGCAAGCAACGGTGCCAAGAATTTTTCGGCGTGACACTGGATCTACAGTTTGGCTCATTGGACCGCTCCACTTCAATTGCGAACGCTTTCCAGACTGTCGGGTCGGAGATCAAGCTTCTCGACTGCTGCCCCATCTCGACCGGAATGCTCGGAAGAAGAAAGGGTTGCTTGCAGAGAGCGACCGCTACAACGACATCATCAAGACCCAGCACGATTATTTGAGTCAATCGCACTCGAAGCAGCAATTCGAGGAGCTTTCCACACCCATTACTCAGAATTTGGACGACCTTGGTGAAGGCGAGCATGCGGCGTGGCTGGACACGGAATATATTACAGAGCCGTGGGACCTGTGCTTCTATACGGCCAGCGACGTTCCTGGTATTGTTCCGAACCAGGATCCGATTGACTCGCACCACCAAGACTACTGCAGTGAATCAGCTGCGGGCTTCAACAGGGCATGTGCTTGCGTTGACTCTAACGGCAATCCTGGTCGAGTGCGCGATGGAAATTGGGTCGGAGCCTATCCAGCACTATACCGCTGGGCCAGTTTCCGCAGAGGTTCTAGAAGCTGGTGTACTCCTCTGCAACGACGACTACCACTTCCCGTGTAATGGGCCTACTTTGGCTCACTACTTTAGCTTACACGTGTGCGCACGTGTACGAGGAAGCGTAGCTTAGTTTAGACTAGAGTTAATCTATACTCGGATCTCCGAGTATAGATTAATCTAAATATACGATCCAAATAATGTTTTTGGGCTAAAATGAGAACTGCTATTTTTGTTTTATGTTTCTGACTTCCTCTAAATGTAATATTCTAAATTAGGAATCTGCCAACGGCTGGTTGGCAGGGTTCTGCTAACATGCAAGTCACTCATTGGCTAAAAGATGCTGCTTTCAGCCAATAGAAATCCTAAATGTGTATAGACTACCCGTCGTGGTGGTCTTAAATGTATGTAGACATTGGTGTACCTTACCCCAAGGTCGAGGAACTGTTCAAACCTCTAACAGACATCGCAGCTGTTAGAGTAACAAGTGACAGCCACTTGTGCGTGTATCCCGTTACATCCCGACTCACAAACGCAAGTCGCGCAGAGCAATCCGCAACATCCAGGCGTATTACTTCAACCAGAGATACTACATCGTCCGGGACGACAATGTGCATGGATTGAAGGTGAACGCGAGCTGAACGAAGACCAGTGAGAGCTCGGTCAGCGGATCCAGCAAGGATGATGAAATTATGGAGAATGTCCAGCTTCGATACCTCTCACCGCACAAGGTGGAGGTGTTGGATCGACTTCCATATGAGCACGACTGGAACTCTCCGTTGTGGTCCCTGGAGGAGGTCAACACCATCAGAAAAAAAAATCAAGTGTGACTGCAAAGATTTCTACCAGACGAGGTGGCTGTGTGCTCATGTACTAGCATGCCTTCACCTCGTTGACAATCTTGATTTGACGGTGATGCTTCGTGGGCTCCCAGCTCGCAGGCCTCCCAGTAGACCGCGCAAGAAAAGCAAATGCCTCCAGTGAGCTGGTGTGAGAACATCCCAATACTCCGTCGATGCCCTGATGAAACGACTTGTGGGCAAACCAGCAAGTGTTATCAACTGGAGTGTGCTAATCGAAAAGACAGCGGCCGAGGCGGATGGCGAGGAGTCCCAGCGGACCTATATTGGCAAGATTAAACCCCCCTTCAGTCGTGGAGGAAAGCGGTTCTGGAGGATCGCGTACGAGGATAAAGATGAGGTGACTGTCCTGGAAGTTGAAGCTCTTGCCATAACGATCAATTTCTCTTTCCAAATGGGGCACAACATTGTTCCCAACTAATGCATATCTTCGACACAACAGCGGTAGCGTGAAGCTTCAGCAGAATAGCAAGTGGACGACATAAGGCTAGACGTAGTGAGCACTTCGGGTGCTACGAACTAGGGACCGAGTAACCCGGACATTTCATTTTTTAATAAATGCAGTAAAACCCTTGTGAATGCAATAACACCATCGAAATAAAAACTAGCCAATAATAAATGAAAATCAGACTTTTTGACCATAAATGGAAAGTAGCCGCTGAAAGAAAAAAAAAAAACGCCCGTCGAAGAAGCACGTAGCGCCTTAGGTGCAGCAGAGCTTGCACCTCCATTCATTGACGAAGCCATCAAGCCCAACCTCGAGTCGGCTCACCCGTTCTTTTAGCCTTTAGGGCATGTTTCATTTGAGAATAAGTCGGGAATAGCGCCGAGCTGGAATAACAATTCTACGCTATTCAAACGAAACAGGTGGTGAATAAAGCCCCACAATAACTGGGAAAAAGAATATGCGTTATGGAAGGAAGAAAATCATTGGCTGGCGCGACATTCACAAAAGTCCGCTCTCGCGAACACTGCTTCGAGCACTGCTCGCTGCTCGTCACCAAGCGCGGGCCCCGAGCGGGCTCTAGAGGAGCACTAAAGCTGCTCTACGCAGTCGCAACCAACCCCTGTATAGGCCGGAGCTTCCTCACCTCGCCACGAAGTCTCTACACATTCCCAGCAGCGTCAGCATCGGCTGGCCTGCGGAGTCTGGCGGTCCTCGACGGAGAGGTGAGGAAGCCCCGGCCATGTAGTTATTCCGCTCAGAATAGGGGGAGTCGAACCTTAAAAATAGCGACAAAAATATCAACAGAGACGGGGCCGAATAATCAGCAACGTTCTGTCCCAAAAATCAACAAATCAAAGTAGGGTATTCACTCTCAGTTTTCGCATGTAGTTGGCGAAAACAGCGAATTATCACTTCCTTTCTCGCCATCACGCGCAGGCTCTTGCTTAGTGCATATACATCTTCTTATATCCAGCTTTATACCTAGCAATGGCCGACTCCAACGTAACACTGTCCAGCAGCTCACAACGTCTCCATCTTCGCGAGTTGACATCTAAAACTTGTTTAAAGCGATAGTGTGAAAACTTGCCTAAACACATACTGTACACAACAATTTCTAGTTGAGGAAGGATTTCAAAAACAGCTGAAATTGTATCAGAGGTCGAGGAGGGAACAGCAATTGAAGTTCGAAATCATCATGTTGATTTTTCAAATCATCAAGATTTCGCCGAAATAATCAACATCAAATCGCCCTAAAAATCAGCACGTTTTTTGCAAGGTTCGACTCATCCTAATAGCTATCCTGACTTTCAAAGTCAGAATAACTTATTCCTGGGAATAACTTCTTAGCCAATAAGATTATCGTATTTTGTCGTAATTAAGCGGGAGGAATAACTCCCGCTATTCTTATTCCAGTTATTCTCAAATGAAACAGGCCTTTACCCGGCATAGCGCAATACAGAGACTAGAATTTAGCCCTGGAACGTCATTGATCTGATGAACCTGCAGAGCGAGTCTTGAAAACGTTTATCGTGCCATGCGGATGCGATCACCCAACAGCATCATGATTCGATAACACTAACAACATCAACAGGAATTCCATACAATCCCGCTTCGTGTTTTTTTTTACTCACAAGGTCACCGCAGCTTTTCCGGGGTGACGTACGAAATGCAGCCTTCGTCATTCGACACCAAGGGTGCACTTCGCGTTAATTCCCCTCCAATTCCTTCCTCAACACCAGAGCTATCATGCTGTCAGGTTCTTCGGTGTAATTCGAAGCTTCAGGAGGCCCATTGCAGTACTCCAAGATCCCAAAACCTCCCATCACCAACGCTGACCCGACAATACACTGCCAACTAAACGCCGTGTGATGCATCAACGTGTCAATGACCCCCGAGAGCGGGATCGTCAGCATCACGCCCACACTCGTCTCCAACGGGGAGTGACAACGGCAAGAAAATGTTGAACACAACCGCCATCATTCCACTCAGTAGCAGCAAGAACACTCCATGCCCAGTCACGGGGAATCCCAGCGGCTCTTGGAGCGACTCGAAGGGACTGTACGCCAGTGCAAAACTCCCCACAATCGACAGCGGAACGGTGAACAGCTCACAGAGCCCCGTCATCGCCAGCAGCGTCGTGGTGTCCGTGATGTCGTCCCCCACCGCGAGTCTGAGCGCGACCACGTAGCCGCGGTACAACGCCGCAGAGACAACCACCAGCAAACCCGCAACGAGGCTGGTACCAGCGATCTCACCGACGTCGCTCCCGTCCTGGAACATGACGACCATCGTGACCCCCACGAAGGACGTGAAGACGCCGCAGATCTTGCCAAAAGACGGCTTTTCGTGCAGGAAGCAGACGGAGAAGCAGTACAGAAGAGCGGCGAGCAGTTGAAGATGGCGATGCCCGCCGTGACGCTCACGTTGGCCAGTGCCGCGTACCAGAAATAGTCCGCGAAGAGGTAGAACAGGCTCAGGCAGGCCGAAATCCAGCATAACTTGTCGAACGGGATGACCGAGTGGCGCTTGAGCACGTCCACGACGTCCAGTGCGTTCTCCCTCTCCCCTGTGATCCAGTAGAACCCCACTACCAGCGGTAGAACGACCGCCGTCATGGTGTGGTTGAAACACACAATGAAGAAGGGCTTGTCGAAGCGCACCACCTCCTGCAGCGCCTGGGACGCCTCGGACTGCAGCACCCACGACCACACCAGCGGTGTGCGTGCAGTGGTAGAGTAAGTGTACAGCATGTTTCCCCAATTGAGGTAGGGCATTCTAACCGAAGGGCACGACGAGTCCGACGTGCTTGGTGTGGAGCAGCTGAGACCGCTTGGTCTCCGTCTCAGAGTCGCCCTCGTGGCTGGAGTGGAATAGTTTGGTGCGCTCGTCCATTGTCGGAGGCTTTGCAGTTGCTGGAGCGACTGGATGCAGTCCCATGTTGGCCTGCGTCATGGCTGGAGGGGGGCCTGGTAGAGGCTTCTACCTTGTAGCTGAGACCGCAGGACGGCGGCTGACGTAGCGAATTGCGTTCTGAAGATCCACGTCCTCATCATCTTTTGGGGGAGATGGGCAAGCTGACTTGAGAATTGTATGGCTACAATTAAGTGTTCGTACTCCTATCAATGCCTGCAGCAGCAACTATTTTTTTCTCACTCAGACACGACAAATGTTTTTTTACCAATCACAAGCTGAGTGCGTTGACCACCAAATTCACGGTCCGTAGCAAAAGATCAAGATTTTCCGTCCAGCCTACGCGCTTGTCCTCTGGGATGCTGGGAAGCGTACGCTGGAATGCCCGGAGCGCCAGCAAGAGGAAGGTGGTGTCCTCTGTCTCCTTCAGGTTGAGTGTGAGAAGGCAACAGCGTGTTCATCCTACTGCAATCGGCGTGGTAGGTGTTGAGTTTAGCATGAAACTCCAGTCGGCGTCTATCCGAGTTGTAGAGTTGCTGAGGTCGCGCGTGAGCACGAAGGAGGCCCACCTGTTGTTGATGGTCAAGGTGAGGAGACTGAGCGTGTTGAGTTTTGTTGGGGGAGGCGCTTGTTGCTCGGCCTGCCGATGTGAAAGTAGGGCTAAGTTAGCTGTAGCTAGCGGAGCGAACTGCCGTCCGCTCACTACTCTCAGCGCCTTCCAACACGCAGCGATTAGTGGATGCAGCTTTAGACACAGTCCTAGGCTGCTTGTTAAGGAAGACTCGAGTGTAGTATAGATACAGAGCTCGTGGAACGGCTCGTGTTCTCTCCGTCCCTCGACATACATTGTGCATTATTACATGATCGCGCTGGAGCAACGCTTGCTGGACGCCAAGGCATCCGACTGACACAAGTAGGCTTACTAGATTGACCTTCCGAGTACTCTGCTCGCAGCGCAAGCCCCAAGGGCGGAGTCTTCTCTCGCGCGACGACCATCCTACCGTACCGTTGGTGCTCAGATCTAGGCGCCAGAAAAAAAACCCAGCTGCTGCTGCGGCTCGACTGGAACGACTTTTTGTGAGGAATTACCATGATCCAGTAGAAAAGTACTGGATCGCCCCCCAGGCCGACAGCCATTTTCTTCATACAGTAAAAAAATCCTAAGTACGCCCGGCACGCCACTTGCGAACCTATCAACCATTTATGGGCTAACTTTGAGCTCTCGGTTTATTTGCGGGACACCTGAAATAGGTAAGATTTCGAAGGCTAGTGCTAAATAAAAACCAAGTAGACTTGAATAATAAATAATTCTCTAAAGGGTGATTCACAGCTATATTCTGCTGCATTGTGCAAATGTCCAAGTCAAGAGCAAGAAACCCCCCAAACTACGGCTCTGCTCGCTTTTCACTCGACGTGTCTGATCTCGAAGCTGCCAAGGAGTTGGGACTACTCAGGGACGATGTTGCAGTCGAGTCGACGAACCCGACAAGCTCAACGTATGGCTTGGCCTACCAGCTCCGAGAGAATATTGCCAATTCAGTCTTTTCTTCACAAAAGGCAGTCCACAGCAAGCGCAAAGATTTGGCTGTGAGGTGCGGCTTCCAGATTTTTGTGAAGCAGACCAGTGTGAAGGACGACAACTCCGGTAATGCGAAATTTGCGTGCAAGGCGCTCAATGGAACGCAATATTTCGACCGGACTACACCAGCTGCCCAACTCACGTGTCCGTTTTTCGTGAATGTTCACAGAAAATCGGGGAAGTGGAAGATAACCCAGGCAAATTTTGTGCACAATCACCTCAAGTTCGTTGGTAGTGCCAAGGCCCCTTGTGTTGAAGGGTCCATCCCGTTGCCGTCCAAGCCCATGCGGAATACCACGCAGCAGATAAGCAAGCTGACAGCGATTGTCGAGACCGAGATGCTTCCCGCCCACGATGGATCTACGGCTTCTATGTCAGGCGCCGCTATCAGGAATTTTCTGAAATCGAAAGGAGCGGACGTAAGCGCTACATCGGTGTCCAGAATGAAGCAGAAAATTGACGACAAAATTCACGGCGACTTGGTAGAAAGTTACCGAAAACTGCCGGCGTACTTCGAGTTGATGGCGCACAACAACCCCGGATCGGTTTGGAGAGTGGAAACTGCCGCGGACGGATCGTCGTTTGGTCGAGCGTGCTTCATCCCTAACGCTGGTATTCACATTGCCCAGAACTGCAAAAAGATGGTCGGCTTTGACGGGGTCCACCTTAAAGAGGAAATGCACGAACAGGGCATTTATCTGGTAGCTACCGCGAAAGACTACAACAACCACATCGTTCCAGTTGGACTCGCGCTGGTTTCACAAGAGGACAAGGCCAATTGGATTTGGTTCCTGGGAGCATTCAAGGAGGCAGTTGACTGAGAAAAGTTCACGATATTGTCGGATAGACAAAAAGGTCTGCTTCCAGCTGTCGGGACAATTTTCCCAAACGCTGGCCATCGATACTGCCTGCGGCATATCATGGACACCATTAACAGGAAATGTTCCAGATTGTCCCAGGAAGACCGTGCGTGGGTATGCAGAATGGCACGCAGCGACTGTGAAAATGACTATAAGCTGTATCGAAGTGAACTCGCCGTGAACAACCCTGCCGCTGCGAATTTTCTGGACGGAATCAAACGTGCTCACTGGGTGAAGTACAGTTTCCAAGAAAAGTTTAATCTCCCGACTTTCGACTAAATAACCTCAAATCTGTCAGAGCAAGCGAACAACTGGATGGGTAAAGAGCTTCGGACCGCCAAACCCTTGGACGGATTCCACTTGTACTTCTTGAAGCTGAGTCAACTGATGTCCAAAAGGCGACAATTGATTGTAACGTGGACAAAATCTGGCGCACTCTCGGATTTAGTCCCCAAGTTGTTAGAGCGACGAACAGACCGCCAAGCTGCAGCTGATATGTGCGAGTTTACACCCCTTCTCGAGGGTGCGTACAGCGTCTTGTTCAAGGGCCCTGTTGCCATACCAGGATATGTGCACCCAGACCGGGTAGTCGATTTGCCAGCGCTGGAGTGCACGTGCGGCAATTGGCAAGACCAAATGTTCCCTTGTGTCCACGCAATTTGCGCTGCGTCAAAGGATGGCCGACGAATCGAAGACTTGCATGACGCCAAGGGTATGTCGATCGAGCACTTCCGCGATACCTACACATTCAAATTTCTCCCTTGGCCGACAACAGCAACCTTACAGCGGGACGACACAATTCTTCCTCCACAACTTGAACCCACTCCTGAACGGATTGGTAAAGAGGGTTGAAGCCAGGAAAGAGGCCACAACACACGCGAAAGATTGTGAAAAACGCGCTGTAGGGACAAGAATAAGCTTCGTCGGGCAAAGCCAATTTATACTTTATCGATCTTTATTTTTGACAAACAACACTTCATAATTTATAGATATTGTGCTTTCCGACAATTCTAACCAAATATGCAAGTGTTGCTGAGTCATATTTGGGTAAGGTATATTAAAAATCTAAACCGATAGATCTCTAGTGTTGTGCCCTAAGAACACGCGAGTAAAATATTTCGTGCAAATCTCTTAAACTCTAGAAGGAGTAGGAACTCTACGAATGTACCACTCCATGGTACACCCTTTTTGTATAATTTAAGCCGCAATGGTGCAATATGCTACGTTGATCTGCAATCTGAATTTTGCAATTTAACTACGTTAAATTTAGCCAAATCACAACCTGACCTCCGGGCTGAAGTCTACTGTATATATTTTAAGGCAACACTTAGAATAGAAATAGACTGCGAACTACATTTTCAGCGCTTCGGCAAGCCCCATTCTGCTTTGTGCTCAATGCCATGCCTTAACCCACGACAGCGCCACGCCCGGAACATCCAGCGCCGCCTGGACGGCTCGTTTTACCGTCTCCGACTGAATCCCGGTATTTCCGCTCATGACGTCAGCGACTAAGACACCGACGAGCAGGAAGAGGAAGAATCATCAGTCGGGGGTGATCTCCGAGAAGAACGACGTAGGGGTGGTGGCCTCTTCGCAAGCAATCGAAGGGCCCAGAGAGGCGTGGATGGGCAGCTATATGAGGTAGAGCGAATATACGCGAAAAGGTGGATCAACGTAAGAGTATATTATCTCATTCAATGGGTTGGGTACCAGGAGCTTACATGGGAACCGGGAAGCCACGTTCCGATGCGCCTGAAGCTACGGTTCGAACGCAATTCGATCGACTTCATCTGGGTCTACCAATCGACAAGAGGGAGACGTCGGACTCGCCATCGACGACCGACACGACGCAGCGCAAGGATCCAGTCTCGCAGAAGTAGGTAGATACGTCTTGATAAATACGCATCACGAACTTAGCAAATACTGTGACAGTAGTTTGTTTTTCGGTCGGCCTCGGGGGCGATCCAGTACTTTTCTACTGGATCAGGGTAATTCCTCACTTTTTGTTCCTGTCGCCGATTTTTTTCCTGGCCAATCACAGCCCCGGAAAAAAATCCGACTTGCTGCGGCGGAAAAAAGTGAGCTGTTGCTATTAGGGGTAGTCAATATTAATACTAGGATGAAGACTTGTGGGGCGGTGAGGAACACTGTACCCATTTCACCGGATCGCGCTTTAACAACTTGTTTCCATCACTAATGACTCCTTACGCATGCAACCTCTTAACATATTAGAGATGGCCCCCCATTGTACTGCTGGAGCCACAATAAATGTTAAGTGAAAGGGACAGAAACGGGCGAGCCGTCTCGAGGTTTGAAGTTGGCGTTCGCTCCAAGTCCGCGTCCTTCAGAACGTCCCGGGCTTCATCCGTACATGATGAGGTCCTTGGAGTCCGGCTGGTTTGCAAGTGTATGCTCAGGGTGGTTGGCACAAGGATCTCTGGGCCATCATGTATTCGTGGTACGGTGGCCAAGAACGAACCACCAAAGTGTGCCCACCCGCGGTGCCCGTCAGCTTTTGTTGGCCCTACTACGCCAAGACGCGTTTCCACACGCGTTTCAGCCCTCCACCCGTCTCACCTGTGGCGTTGACAGCAGAGTGCGGGCGGCACCCTTTGATTATTTGGCGGCTCGGCGCGAACTTTACGACGGACTTCTCGGTAGTACAGGCTCGATTCTGCTTCGTCCTGGAGACCGCTTACTAATCAACGAGGCACGAGTCGCGATTCCAACAGCTGAGATCAACCACCAGATCCTCCGAAGCTAACTGTTTATGAGTACACAAAATGACTTGAACTCTTCTTTTGCGATGCAGTGTAGAATGGAAAGTGAGATTGAATCAAAAGCTTTACCTACGAGACCTTAGCACTTCGCTCTAGTTCGCTCTAGTTCCTACAATCTAGAACCCTGACAAACTTGATCAGCACTTCGCGAAGCTTCGACGACCATCACTCTCTGCAACATGCAAGTTGCCTTTGTGTACAGCACATAATCTGTGACGTGGTGCTGCAGCTCAACATACACCACGTATTTTGAACTACATGTCCTATAACATGTTAGTAGCGTTAGAACACAAGTGTGGAGCTGCACCGAGAGTTGCATGAGGGCAAACAAGAACGGAGAAATAGCCTTCGAAACGAAGAATTTACCATCCAATCTACATATAATATACTACTAAAAGAGGTAAATAATCGGTTGGGTAGAGCTCGCTGGCACACCACATGTCAGCACAATGATAAAATTAAAACGACTTTGAAAGTAAAGAAGCCAAGGTGCTTGGCTACCTAGAATAATAGGTACTTCCGTCGGAATCCCAGGGTGGGGGTAGTGCGAAGCAGCCACCCAACTCAGTAAATACGTCTAGATTAACCTCCAAATGTATCCATTTCCTCAACTAAAGAGTGTTAACGTGTGCGTAGTTTTCACAGCAGTGTCCAGCTACGGCATATTATGGTACTGTAGTGGAGTACACAATTCCAAGATAACCGCATTTACTCGCCTCACTGCGAACGGTTACGAACACTGCCTAGGTAGTCCAATAATCCAGTAAAATCAACTACAGTCACATGTTCGTGGATCCCAGTTCAGTATAAACCTTTATTCGCCTAATTACGGGTTCAATCGTAGTGGACTCACTCATCCACATACTAATCAACGTAGGCATGAATCGCGAATCCAACAGCCGACCGAGATCGCATCCGAAGCTCAGTTTCGATTTCGTGCCAAGCTTTCACTATGAAGCTGTGCTCATTGCTTTACGCCGCTTGTGTCGCCGCTCAACTCAGCTCTGTGGGCGGTGCCACCATCGACCACGACAAGGTGCAGCCGTTCCCACAGCCTGGCCCAGTCACCGTGTCCGAGAAGGCCGCCGTTAAGTACAAGCCAAATCTCCTCATCCTCGACGCGTGCCACCCGTACCCTGCTGTCAACGCCGCGGGTGAGACGAGCGGAGGGCTCAAAGGAACTGGCAAGCGCGATGGAGCCTGCAAGGGCTCAGGGCTGGGCTCGCAAGTCTACGGCCGAGCTGGTTGGCACGACGACATGTGGGCCATCATGTACGCGTGGTATTTCCCCAAGGATGTTTATTACCGGGGAACCTTCTCCGACAAGGGCTTTCGACACAACTGGGTCAACGCCGTCGTGTGGCTGGATAATCCTGCTTTGGAGACGCCCAGATACTCGCCTTGTCGACTTCGGTGGGGACGGAAGGGGAATTTTACGGAATTTTGAAGAACGCCCCACAAGTTTGCGGCCGTAACCCTCGTAGCGGGTATCAAGAGTGCTCTCCACCCTTCACGGGATATTTCAACGGCACCAGTGCCATGCTCGTCTACGAAGCTAACGGGGAGGAGCCAAGTGCACTGAGCCAGAATACGCTGGGGGGCGGTGAACTCCAGGACCTCATCATGTGGGAACAGTTGACGGTCGAGGCTCGTGACGCCCTGAGCACGACGGACTTTGGAGAGACCAAGGTCCCGTTCATTGATGCCAACTTTAACGCGAACCTCAAGGCGGCTCGTCCGTCCCTCTAGTTGTTACAATACAGCTCCAAGCGGACTCGGAAAGAGATACAAAAACTGTTTCTCGGGGTTTTGATGAAGGTACACGCCTCGAATAGTTGCGCCCGTACGGCAAAGGATAAAAAGCAAGGAAGAAATGAAAACGGCACTTTCAAAAACATTACATCCTGTGGCCGCTGCAAGATTATGTAATGACAATCGAAGCATGAATCGCAGAAGTCGCAGTTACCATAGCAAGAAACGCGCTGTGATCGAGCGCATCTCAGAATCCGCCAACATTTCGTGTTATTGCCTTACCTAGCACGCAAAACGCGTATTCAGGTGATGGCGAAAGTTTCTTGGTGCATGAAAAGATTTAATTCAAGCCTATTCTTGAGTTGGAGGGACTAGTATGTCTGATACGATTCGAAACATCTGGCCTCACACGAGGAAGTCATCTCTCCACACTAGAATTTAATATTTCCTCAAGTCGAGCGACGCCTTTCTTCCATCGCAGCTCAAATTGCCTTTGCTACAAATGGCGTTCAGTGCAAACAAATTTGTTGCTGGTACGCCTGATGAAAACATAATTCTTGTCGAAGCCTTGGAGAAATGAGCAGTTTAACGTAGCACGCTAGGACTTTAATCCGCACCCGCGCAACTCATAGATCGAAAAACAATTATAATTGTCGGTGCTCGCGAGCCCAGCGTCTTCTACACCAGCGTGATCCATTTCTAACCGAGCTCCATGCGCCCGAATGAGTAGGTACACAGCTATACTATGTTCACAACCGAACGAAGCCTTTATCACCGGATCTAGACGACTGTATTTACATGTCCCTCTGTCTGGTTGGCCGGTTCTGGCTGTAGCGGGGCTCCTTTCGCACTGCAGTACTCGAGGATGCCAAATCCCCCCATGACGAGAGCTGAGCCAGCGATGCATTCCCACGAGAACGACGTGTGATGAACCACCGTGTCCACAAGTCCCGACAAGGGGATGGTCAGCATGCACCCGACGCTCGTCTCCAACGGCGACGTCCAGCACAGCGACAAGGGGAGAAACACGCAGAAAACGACCGCCATGAGGCCGCTGACCAGCATCAACAGCACTCCGTGCGTGCCCTCGGGCATTCCCAAGGGCTCGTACAGAGCTTCAATGGGGCTGTAAGCCAGCAGGAAACTGCCTACGATCCACATTGGAATTGTGAAGAGTCCGCACAGCCCCGTCATGGTCAGTAGCGTGGCTGTATCCGTGATGTTTTCGCCCACTGTCAACTTGATCGCAACCTCGTAGCCTCCGTACAGTGCCGCCGAGAGCACAACCATGAGCCCAGCCGCCACGCCCGTACTGGCGATCTCGTTGAGGTCGCTGCCGTTCTGGAAGAAAACCACGAGCGTGACCCCCGCGAAGGACGTAAACACGCCGCACATCTTGCCCAGCGACAGTCGCTCGTGCAGGAAGCAGATGGAGAAGCAGTAGACGAAGAGCGGCGAGCAGTTGAAGATGGCCGTGCCCGCCGCCACGCTCACGTTGGCCAGCGCCGCATACCAAAAGTAGTCGGTCACGCAGTAGAACGCGCTCAGAAAGGCTGCAATCTTCCACAACTTGTCCAACGGAATCACGGAATGGCGGTCTAATACGCCGTAGAAATCCAGCGGAGCGAGTCGATCCTGTTCCCCGCCTCGGAGCCAGAAGTAGCCGACCAATAGCGGCAGCAACACAACCTGCAGCAAACTCCACCGAGTCAATAGAGCTCCAGCATTACCTCCAAATTAGTCAAGTTAGTTGGGGTACCGGAGCCGTGTGGTTGAAGCACACGATGAAAAAAGGTTTGTTGAACTCGACCGCCGCCTACAATAGCATCGTAAGCGAAGTCCACGAATAGATCGACAATTTGGAGCAATGCTCAGCAGCAGCGTGGCACCTGAAGGCCTTGAGAGGCTTCGGCTTGTAGCACCCACGACCAGACCAGAGCTGTGCATGCGCATAATAGATGGAGGCACTAGAGTTAGAGGTGAAAAGTCTACTGTAGTCGTGTGTCAATAGTTGAATTGGTACCTCCCAGGGCGACGAGTCCTGCGTGTTTGGGGAGTTTTTGTTTGGTCTCTATGGGGATCTCGTCTGACGACGAGAGCAGCTTGGTGAGCTCGTGGGGAGGGGGAGGGAGGTCGGTCACGCGCGTCATGGCGATAACGGAGGCTTGCGCAGCAGAAGGCAAAATGGCAACTGGTCAGTTGAAGCACGACGAGCGATTAGAGGGTGTCGCGCGAAGGTGGCGCATATTACCCGTGACAATGTATAGGAGATAGCAAATGATTGCACGATTCTTACAAACATTAAGCTACAAAAACCTGTAGAACTATATTCGAAAAAAATGATTTTTGACGGAAAAATTGAGGGGTGGGGGAGAGAGACTGCGTGTTTGACGAGAACACGGCGTCGAGTCTTTGCCTGTTTCAACCGCCACCCAGGCAATTGTAGTGATTTATATGAGCGGCTGGACATCGCCCTCCTTCAATGGACCCACTGTATGGCAGGCTGCCAATGCAAAATGCGCCCCACTCAGCGTTTACTATACGCTCCATTTTGATTGGCATTAGCGGCAATAGCAGGTCTCCGATGCTTGTATCGTGCGGTTGGAAATTGAGCTGCAACTTCAACTGGCATTTCACGCCACAAGCTGTGATCGTTAATTGAGTAGAGCGGGCATTCCCAATTCTCTCGTAACAGAGCACCAGAGTCATGTCGATCTCCGTGCTGTAGCGCGACGCTCAAGCGACGAGTGTTGGAGTCTGAGATGCATACCAACCAATGAGAAACCTAGCCCCTCGGATACAATGTCATGTCAATTTTCGGATCGAGAAACAATAACAGGAGATGAAAACGAGTTCGATTCAATTTTTGTAGTGGCAAGAACTTGTTAGCATATTTTCCGCAAGAAATAGTCTGTAGAAACTTGGCAATAGTCATCCGAGGTGCTGCACTCACTGGCAAAGAAAAAAATTCGATTCAACGCGAGGAGCACCCTTGATGCATATGCAGAAGAAACGAAATATATTCGCACCGCCATCTTGGCCGCCAGGTATCCTGCTCACTACCACTAGCCGGTTCTCCGATCCCAGCGACGTCTCACCCCTTAAGCCCCAGCTTCCTCCACTTCTTGGCGACACACGGGGCAACTCGGTAGAGTCTCATTCTCGCTGCACCAGCCCGACCACTCGTCGATGCAGCTACAGTGGAAACTGTGGCCGCAACCAATGGTGATAACGAAGCCCGGCTTAGTCAAGCCAAACGTGGACCAGCACAGTGTGCACTTGGCCTCCTTGGCCAAGCCCGCAGACTTGGTAGGCGACAGCTTCACCATGATCGACTCGTCCCGTGGCTTCGCGACAATCAGCAGACTCTCCCATTCCACCGAGCCGTAGTACTCGTCGGATTTGAAGCGATGGTACTTGTATCCACTCGCATCTTGCCATAGTGAGATGATTGAGAAGCCATTGCTGGTCTGCGTGCCGTCGAATTTCCACGCGCAGTCGTAGAATCCACACGTTTGAGGCTTCACCTTCGCTCGGCACATCGGACACTTGATGTCGTCGTGCATGAGATTAAACGCCTCGAAGCGCTTGGGGCAGATGACCCACTGCTGATAGGCCTCGCAGCTCTTGTTCTCGCAGCGGCCTTCAATGTTGAGTCCTCTGCTAGCCATGCGCCACTCAGGAGCGTCGCGGGAGAAATCAATCTCGCGTAACAACGACTCGTCCGTAATGTCAGCGAAGATTCGTGGCGGAATTCCCCCACCACGCATCATCCGAACCAAATACACGATGCTTTGGTCCGTTATGCCGTAAGAAGTGAGCGTGAGGTGGTCTTCCAGCTGGATCCCCCTGTAGACAAGACGCTGGGAAGCCACCGTGAAGTTCTCCTTGGCTCGGAGCCTCGACTTGATGTACCCGATCGTGTCAGAGGAGACGCAACGCAGCAGAATTATCATATTCGTCAGCGTCTTGATCGTGATCGACATCTCCGTCGATGGAACTGGAGCTGGTTGAACTCGCATCACTGCCACGAACCGCGGATTATGCCCCAACTCTGGGATAAGCGACTGCAAAAGCCGATCACGACTTAGACTTGCGCCGTACAGTAGAAACGACTCCACTTGGCGCGACTTGTCCTCACTGCTGCCGATTTTCTTGTTGATAACCGGGAACAAATCGCCGACTCGCGCACCTTTCACGGGTAATTCGGACGTGTGCACCTCCACGACCCCACTCAGGCCTCGGCCGCGTGAATCCCTCCACAAGACAGGAAACGCGAGGGTCGTCGACATCGCTGCTCCTTGAGTAAAATGCACACTGAGCTTCAAATGACGAGTGGGGTAGAGAATGGGGAGAAATCCGAGAATGATCAGCACGTAAGTTCGAACAAAAGTTCCCACCGTTAGTTGAAGTTTGCTCCTACCAAAATGATAGCGAATTACGGACAACAAGATAGCAATAAACTAAAAATGAGTGCCTTGGTGACTGAAGCTCAAACACCTTTTTCTTCCACTGGCTTTTGGCACACAGGGCAACTTGGAAGATGATCATGGTCACTGCACCACTTCATCCACTTGGTGAGGCAACAACGATGGAAAATGTGCCCACAGGAGATCGCCGTAGTTGAGATAAGCCACAACTTGGCCCAGCAAATGGCGCAAATATCCTCTCTGTTTACTTGGCCAGACGAGGAAGTAGCAGTCTCCGCCAATTTTGCAGCGTTCGATACGCGTCGTTGTTTAACCACGATCAAAAGGCTGTCCCACTGAGAGCAATTGTGGTTCTTGTTGGCACTGAAGGGGTGGTATCAGTCTCCACTCGCGTCCTTCCTGGGAGAGCTGATCGAGAGCCCATTTCGCGCTCGTATCCCGTCAAACTTCCATGCGCAGTTCCAAAATCCACACGTGAGAGGTTTAACCCGACAGTGGCAAAATGGGCATCGGATGCAACCGTCCCGCACGAGTTGAACGACTCGAACTGGTTGGCGCAGATCACCATCTCACGGAATGCAGGGCCGTATTCGTTCTCGCATCTTCCCTCCACATTGAGGCCTTCGTATGCGATTCTCCAGCACGAAGCGGAAGAAGCTTCGTGGTCCAACTGGACCACTTCGTCCGAAGTGCCAGAACTGTCTTGAGGAGGGATGTACCCTCTTTTCAACTTCCAGATCAAGTAGATAAGGCTACCATTGCCAGTGTTGTAGGATTCTAGCGTGTGATGGTCTTCGAGTCGCGTATTATTGAAGACAAGGAGTTGCTCTTCTTCGGCAATGCCTTCCATTTGCTGTAACGGCACCTTCACATCCGCAACTTTGGCTCTGGAGGTGATCGGAACGCGAGTCGTTTTATTTGTCAACGTGCCAACAATGACAACGACGTCCGATAACAGTTGAAGCTGGAGCTCTCAGAACTGCGATGAGCCGCGGACAGCTTCCTGCCAGTCAGGAATGATGGCTTCAAGTCGACGATCCGTGCTCAGTCGTGCTCCATAGAGCAGGAGACACTCCACTGTTCGAGAACCTCCTTGTAGATCGCTAACTTCTGCGCCCTGCAACTGCAAGTCTGACTGGTGAACCTCCAGCACGCCTTTCACACCGAGACAGTCTCCTTCCTTCCAGAGTACAGGAAGATCCGTAGGCGCCATAATTGATCTCCAGTGGAATAACGGTATTGGTGCTTCGGGTTTCCAGCCTGGTGTCATGCTAGTCATGAAGTGTCACTTCCAACGAACCAGACTGTAGACCATTTACTTGGTAACCTAGGAAAAAATAGCTCATTAAACCCAATACCCAAGGTCTTCTGATTAAAAAATAAGTTCGCCACATGAAAAAAAAATCAAGCTTGCACAGGGATGGTAATCTTTCTTATATTCATTTTTCTTTTACGTTCTTTTACTGAAAAAGAAACCTGGTGTCAAGGGCCGTTTTTCTTTTTTTTCTTATATTATATTTTTTCTTCGCTTCATTGTATCTCTTCTTGAAGCCTTATCGAGGCTGTTTCACTGGCTCAATGCTATTTTACTTGGTTTCCCCGGCTTCGTCTTCACCCACGTCTGTCTCCGTTCGGGCAAAGCGCGTCAGCCCCCTCTTCTCTGCCTTGGTAAGCTCTTTGCAGCGGCCATCTTGCTGTGGTGTAGCGGGATCGGCCAAAATCTGGTTAAGGCCTGATCGAGCTTCCCACCAGCGCCCAGACACCGACTAACGGAGGGGGTCCCCCAACGATCCGTGATCGGCTGAACTTGTTCTCACCTTGTGTACCCGTCGGCGGGCTGGATCTGCTCTCTCGGGGCTCCGAAGATGCAGCACTTGGTGAAGATCGAGTGTCTTGGCGTGACGCGGGGATAGTTTGTGGGGCAGCGCGGTAGTCTTCGCTCTGCGTCCGAGTATACGCTCCGATCGAGGGTTCTTCGCTTCGATCGGTCGGCCTGGAGTAGATCCGAGGCCTGTAGTTGCCTTTCCGGGTGTGTTCCTTCCTTTCCTGAGTTGCTTGCCGCTTCCTATAGCGGGATCGAGGTCGATTGAGAGACGCAGCGATCGCCGGCCAAGCAGTATCCGGTCGATCGAGGACTTGCACACGAGAGAAAGATCACTAGAGTAGGTCAAGCTGGCCAATGTATTAATCCAGTCTTAACCGTACCGCTAGTTCACTACCCGAAGTGTCAACGCTTGCCGAGGCCAATGTAGCTCCTGGGACTTGACGACTTGAGGGCACTTGTGGTCTTCTGTGCAAATTGCGTTCTGATTTATGTTTAGCTGGTCTCTCTCTACCGCTGCCATCTCATCTACCATCCTACAACCAAACGATTACTGAATTCTTGCCCTGGCTTCGCCCCCATGTGCTTCCCATCCAGGTCGATCGGCGATCCACGATCGGCTCCCGATCCACGATCGACCCCGATCGGCGATCCACGATCGGCTCCCAATCCACGATCGGCTCCCGATCCACGATCGACCCCGATCGGCGATCCACGATCGGCTCCCGATCGATTACCAGTGCGAGTAGCCGCGCGCTGCCGATCCGTCCTCTTCTGTCCTCGGCGGCCCAAGATCTGCGAGATTGGTCGTCGATCCGGGCTTGGGTCTACGTCGAATCACGCTGCAGTCCAAGCGCGATCGCCCGTAATCTGTCTTGACATATGTGTTGCCTTACGCGACGACGTTATCCAATCGCTTGAGATCTCTCGATAGACCCTCTTGATCCGCGACCGCAGCCTGATCCCTGCCTATCGTTCTGCCACCATGTAGCTTGATGTCGTCGCAGTTGGAAATTCTTGTTCGGTGCTTCACCACATTGCACTTTGAGAATTCCGTTTTCAAAGTCAGGAACTGCAACGACCTTGGCGCCTATTGCGAGGTGCTTGGTGCAAAGGCGCTCTCTACAGCGACACGAGCGTGAGACCGAGCGAGGTGGTCGACCAGATTGGTGTAACCTTTGCGAGGAGCTTGAGTGCGGATTGAGGTGCAAAGCTTACACTTGAATTGAGTGTCGCTGACCTGGTCGAACAGGGCGTCGACCAGATCCCGGTTCGCGACGGCGAAGCTCATCCCGGGCGAGGGCTTGGACAGGAGGCTTGATCAGCAGAGTGCGAAACAGGAAATGGTAGTGTAGGCTCGATGAACGAGCCGCAGTCAGCATGCTAGTCGTAGCTTAGCATTCAAGGTCTCAGCGGGTCATTTTACTTAGTTTTTGTATAGCATTAGGGTAGGTCCCTTGAGACACGATTCCCTCCATTATGGTTATGGGTAATGGATATTGATGGACCATCACCATTCACATTTTCGATGCACTGGTGGGTTATCCACCAGAAGCACTACGAGCCGTTCAATCCCTTGAAGGATGACACCAAGTGGCCCATATGCCGAGCTCGCGTGAAACCTTACACGTGCGGATTATAAGATTGCGTGTGGAAGTTTGATGGCGTGAAGGCTGGTGACGGTTTGTCCATTACCTTCCCCTGGAAAGACGCACCTGGATACAAGTATCATCGCTTTGAAGCCGATGGGAAGAATGGCTACGCTGACTAGGAAGGACTGCTGATTGTCGCCAAGCCGAGAGACGAAGCAATCGCAGCCAAGCTGGTGACTGCTCCTGGCTCTGGTGGTGTCGTTGCAAGCGATGTGTGCACAAGTTGCTGGTCGAGCTTCGGTTTGGTGGCGCCAGAGGCGCTTATCACGGCTTCATGCAGCCACAGCTTCCACTGCGCTTGCTTTGACAATTAGTTAACGTGGTGCAGCAACCGAGATGCTCTGCCAGGCTGCCCCGCGTGCCGAAAACCAGTCGAGGATTCATCTTGCTCGGCGTCTGCCCTGATGCTGGCAGCAGCAACGAGATCTTTGATTCCAATTTCATGGACTGAAACAACGAAAGCCGCTGTGTCAGGTTGAGGGTTTTTTACAAAAAATAGGATATCTTGGGAACGGCTGGGTAACTTTCGCCAAAAATTTTTTGGAGATGGGTATTAACGTGGACCAAGCGCTCAGAGCGTCCGGCGATCTGAAATTGCGTGTGGGATCCACAATGTGAAAAAATCGCGATTTTCGGGATAAAAACGAGATACCTTTTTTGCGTCTTCGCCGCGCTGTGTACACCGGGGAAGCCGAATGGCACCGGGATGTTTTTGACATATAGGGGTATTCTTTGGCGCTCTTTCACGTGGTGTAAGCAGATTTCGGCTAACTATAATACCCAGGTCTCTAGAACGGTTTTACGCCAAAAATCGCACTTTGCGGTGCATTTCCCGATTGCGAACGGGCCAGGACCTGCGCCCGCAAGTTGAAGCGGCCGTACTGTCGACTGCGAAGCCCTACCGCGAATTGGCTAGCTCCTTGCTCTATGTTTTGAATTGCAGCTGTCCCGACATCAGTGTATCGACGAGTATGCTGTCCCAGTACTTGGACAATGGGGCAGGTGCTGCAAGCTCAGGGATGTTAAAAGATAGCTTTCCAAAATATGATTTTTTTCTCAAGAATATAAGAATATATAAGAAGATTTTGGGGTTCTCAAATGCAGTCACCATCTGTATACCTAATCATCCCCACTTTGACTGTCCAGCTCGTCATTGCAATCGTCCTCCAGAAGTTCGTTGCCGTCTTCATCACTAGCGCTGTCGTCGTCCCGTAATTCAGCGTCATGACCATCAGCTGTATCATTCACCTCCTCGTAGTCATCTACTAGATCGACAACATCCCAGCAGTCGTGAACTGGTTTCCCCACTGTTCTCTTTGACGGAAGAGCTGGAGCTGTTTGTATGCTTGGCCCTTGATAAGACCATACCGTCAGTCTAAGTAGTAAATACCCTTGAAGATAGTGAATAACTCTACCTGAAGAGTCCGGTGGGTCCGATGGAGAGGTGATACTACTTACAGTACCCTTCGCCTTCGATTACTACAAATTTATCGGCGGGCTATTGAAACAGCCCGGTTCGCTCCCAACGACCTCGGCTCCAAGATCAGCTACGACATGTCGCTGGACCGAAGGCAACTTGATCTACAACAACGACAACTACTACACCCGGGCTCGTCACGAGCAGCGCTTGTCAACTTGGTCACGTCTCGCCTCCCAAATTCTCTTCATGGGGCTTTTGATCGCTCAACATGCTCAAGTTGTCAGCGGCCATGTTACCACGGCACATTCGAAAGGCATCTACCGATTGGGGCGGCTTTCCACGCGGGGCACCGGCGACGACAACGACATCGAACGACGACTTCGATAGCGACTACAAATACGACAACAACCGCGTCCACATCGATGACCAGGCCAATGAGTATGACAAGACAATCAGAGTGGAAGCAACCACGACTGCGATCATGACTAAAAGCTTCGACGGCAAACACGCTGCTGACTGCAACTACAACGACGACTAGGACTACAGCTACGGCGGCAACCACGACTGCCGGTACAACGATAACGACGCCCACGGCCAGCACTACGACTGCAGCAACCACAACGACTTCGGCTACGACGGCTACAACTCGAACGCATACGATTACGAGCACAAGTACGACGTCGGCTACAGTCACGAGCACGTTCCTACATTCAGCTTTCGCACTTGACGACAGCGATCGGCTTGGGGGGATCTCGCCATTCAACGTGTAAGTGGGCCAATATTGGGGGCTGCCATTCGGCACCTTGCCTATCAACCAAAGCGCCTCTGGCTTTGGCCCATTAACACAATGAAAACTCTTTAATCCCCCCCTAATGCCTGGAAGCACCGAGGAAAATTATGCACTTTAGATGTTGAAGTTGGGTGCTTGATGTTGAAGTGGGTAGGACACTCGCGCGTTGGCACTCGCCTGCGGCCTTAGCGACGGCACTTCGTGGGGGGGGGCGCCCCTCTCTCGCTTCGCTCGGGGGGCGCCGCTCCGCGGCCTGCCCCACCCCGTCGTGCCTTACGCTAAGGCCTCGGCTTCGGCCAGGCGCGGTGTCTTAAAAATATATATCGGGTTGCAGCGCTCGCGTTCGCTCGCTCGCGCAGACACGCCCCCGCCTAATCGGCGGGTGTTGGCAATCGGTGAATGCACTGAGTGAGTCTCGAGCTCGCATCCGCTCGCCCTCGTCCGTTTGACCAGTCATAGTGCTCAAATAGTTGGACCAATATTATTTTTGGTCAATTGGTCCGACCAAAAATAGATGCGGTGGCCAAGTGCTAGTCGGTACCAAAAAAGTGGATATTTGGAACAGTATTCTCAAAAGTAGCTAGTCGAAAATTATAATGTGGCTACTCTAAAATAAATACCCCCGTTTATCACCAGTTTGTACCGATGGGGAAACAGCGGACAGCACCCGAATTAATCCTGTTTGGGCTGGGCTATCAGCACTTCGTCGCTTCCTATCCCAGTATAAAAGTACAGATCTCCCCGGAGAATCAGCAAAGGTCGGACCAATAAAAGCTGCGAGGCTAAACATTTCGCAAAGGTTGAACATAAATGCAAATGTACTGTGTTTGTCGATTTCGCAGAGGCGTGGCGCCGGGCTTGATTATACTTTCCCGCTTTGAGACATTTTTCCTCATCTAACTAAGTACACCCTCCTGACAGCTGCAGCAAATCTCGAGCATGTCTGCACTACCTTTGCGAGGTATATTGTACATTGCTCGTGCAGATTTGTAGGGGAGATCTGTACTAGACGTTGTTTACGCTTGGAGTGAAGAACTCTAATTTTGTTAATCAATATTTCTATGGTGGTGGTAACGCGGTAATAGTGAGCATTTTTCACCTTTTTTATCTGCGGCTTTTTGCTACAGACATTCATTGCCTCTTTTTCCGTCGAATTTACCTCATTCGTCTAGCGCCTCGGTGGGTTTGCAGCTTTTTGTAGGGTTAGAACGGGTCTGGTGGCGGATGATGGCGTTGGAAAAGGAGCCGGGGAGGATAGTGGCTAGACGGACAGAACATTGATTACGTTCTGCCCTTGGTTCGGTCAATTTATACAGAACACTGCACAGAACATTACCCGTATTACTTTATAAAATACCTTGTAAAACTTATCACCCACGCTTCCGAAGCGGAATCTATCGCATTATTGGATCTAGTTCCCGTGTTGCAACACACACAATGGACAGTACTGGGGCACGTGTCCAGTTGCGCTGCACTGCACTGGGTAGTATGGGTAAAGCCGGCTCCGCTCGCTTGGGCGTCCTGGAACTGGTCGTGGGCGGTGCGGCCTTGGTGAAGAATGCTCGGGGTTGCCACGGGGCACTTGAAGCGTGTATCCTTTTCAACGTGGAGCTAACCAGGTCTAGGTATCGTGGGATGCCGGATCTGTACGTAGCAATAAGTACACGGTATATACATGACAACGCAGCTAGACATACGAAGGCGAATTCATTGTAGGCTTAGTGATGTTTCTAACTGCAGTACCATTCGTTGGTCTTCCCGAGCACCGACTAGAAGATCAATAAGTCGTTCGCAACCACCACGGCTTTTGCTAAAGCTGCTTCGACATGATGAAACTCGTGGGCAAGAGCATGGGCTACCACACCAATGACATTATGCCATACAATCAGTTGCCTGATCTCCCGCGCTAAGCCAAGTGCAAGCGGGTGCAGGTTCTCTGCGTTTACGTGCTTAGTGCCCTGAAGAGTTACTGTAGATGGTTTGCGTCTGCATCAAGGAGTAACCCGGCTTTATCTACTTCTCCACACCGAATGTGCTCAATTTGTAAGGATGATAACCAGCGAGCCGTACCCAGGGGTTCATACCAGCTCGAGTTTAGCTGGTATCGGGTATCTCGGCCTTCTCACGAAGCTGAAATCAGCGATACTGATACTAATATCAATATCATATCAATATAATGATACATATATTGATAAAAATTGTACCTGCAGTAATTTGGCTAATGTCGCCGTCTCCTATTCTTTTGCAGCACTTCCTTGTACTCGGACCAATTAGCCTTCATCAAGCACATCGTCTCCGCCCGGTCGTGATCAAGCTGGGGGTTCGCAACTCGTTCTCCACATAACCACTAAGACTGAAACATCGCTCTTGGGACACGGTAGATAGGGGTTTGACGAGACAGATTCTCAAGCTTATTTTCAACCGAAAAGGGATGATCCTTGAGAGCTCTGAGCATGTGCTTCCTGGGGTTAGCAGTCGTCTGTTGCCGCATTAAGACCAGAAGAGGTCGGGTCCGTGCTTTTTTGTGTGCTGCGCACACGAGACGGATGTGGGTGAACGAGCTGCTATTCTTCTTTGTGTCAGGAATCGGAGTAGCAAGTACATGGATGAACTGCCAGACAAGAACAAACATGTTCTGGTTTGAGTGACGCACAGATAGTGGAATACCAACTCGACTCCAACTTCGCCTTCTTTATCTCTACGGCCACGATCACTGGGCGACGTATCCTCGTCGGCCATTCTCTAGAGAGCGCGCACGCAACCGAACCGAGATGGTAGTAGTAGACTTGTACTTGCCGTGAACTTGTTGGGAGAAGTGGCTATATGCAAGTAAACTATGTGCGGTAGCGCACATGGAAATCACCTGGTTGGTAAAATCTACACTAGGTCGCAGGATATCGATATTTATATGCCGAAGTATCAATGGATCTCGATACAGCATCACCACCAATATCAGGTGATATTGATACAAGTATCCAGTCATACAGTATCAATATTTATTATGTAGTTGTGTGGCCCGTCACACAGCCAACAGCCGCGTGTACGAGCTGCTGGACGTGCAGGAGTTGACGACGGACGTGATGTGGCACACCATGGCGGTGTCGGTGACGACGATGTACGACTAGATGCGGCCGGTGGCAGGGGCAAGTCAGCGGGCTGGAGCCACCACACCAACGCTGGAAGTGGGCGATTGAAGTTGAAGCAGCGTGACTGCCGAAGATTGCAGGAGGGACGACGTGTGAAGGCGAGTCAAGGTGGAAGCATGCCAGGAGGCGAGGCGACGCCAGCGGAGCGAACGTGAGTACAAGAAGTGTCGAGTCGACAAGAAGGGGGAGAGGTTCAAGTAGGATAGGAAGGGCGCTGTAGCTAGAGTTAGTATAGGCGACGGAGGGGCTACGGTAGATAGGAGGGAGGCGAGCGGCGGCCGTATCGACTCGACCCTCAGTTAAGATTTGTTGCGGGACGTGCAGGGAGTTGAGACTAATACATTGGTCTGCGCCGGAAGCACGGGTTGCTGACCTTCGTACTGCAGCGGAGGGCGTCGGCGAGGAGTCGAGCAGTAAGGGAGAGGTAAGCTGACGTAGAGGTCGCACATGATGAGGGCAGTGGACAAGTAGAGCGACGGGACCGTGGAGAGAGACCACGGGGGTTGTGGCGGAGCGCCTCGACCGAGGGACAAAGGGTCCACGTGTACCTACGGGCGAAGGACACCTGCGTCCGTTGCATGTAACCGGGCTAGTTGCGGGGAGCAGCCGGCGGGGCTACCCGACCGTCGGTGCCGATAACGCTTCCTCCCAGTCATCTCTATCCGTCACGAGGTGGCGGCCAGTAGCTGTCTGGTTGACCACTGTAAGAACTGCCTCGTGCTGATGCCACCGCTGCTAACCCGCTACCTAGGTGCAGAGGTCTGCAATCGATGACGGCTGGCTGACGACCTGTAATGGATGGGGCAGGGAGGTTGGCGCTAGCTACATGGTGGTCATAGCAGGGGCTCTCTGGGCACGTCTTAAAGAGGCCGACGTTGCGAGCTGAGTCATTATGGGCAATCCCCGCAGCGAGACGAACGAGGAATGAGAATAAGATGGGATACTGATAAGTATAGATGTTGGTTATTGCAGTTTTACGAACTACGGAGATGGCTACAACAGTGGCGCGCGATGAGCGCGCGCGACGGCGCGCTGCTTCGGCTGAACGGACGGCTGCTGAAGCGGCGGCTGCTGAAGCGAATCGGCAGAAGCCAAGTGGAGGGATGATGGTCGAGACGGACGAAGGAGGCACGCAGGTCTCCGTGACGCTGGGGACGGCGGATATCCGAAGCGCGGGTGATACACCGCTGGGCACGAGCGGCGGTGACGGCGCCGGAGGACGTACTGCAGGAAGCAACAACGGCAGTGGACAACCGGGAGGAAGACGCGCGCCGGCTGGAAGCGGTGACGTCGAGGGCCGTGGTCGTCCATCTGGCGATGCTGTCTCATCGGGCGGCAGCGGAAGCCCGAGCAGCGACAGCGTAACGCAACCTGGGCTCAGCGTGGACGTCGCGGGACACAGCAGCGCAATTGTGGACCTGACAAACATTGGAGGTGATGGCGGACGGGGCAGTGCGAGGTAGAGCCAAGCGCCTCCACCGCCACCACCAGCACGAGGAACAGGAGTGGGGATGGCACCGGCAGGTGGTCCAGCACGAATGTAAGCGCCACCACCACCGCTGGTCGTCCGTGAGAAAGCCAAGTCCCTCAAACTGTCCAAGTTCAAGGGACTCGACGACAGCATGCCTGTGACGATGTGGCTGAAGACAGTGAGAGCGGAAGTGCGCAGACAGGCGGCGACGATGGGCGTCCAGTGGACCGAAGCGCAGCTTTACCACGAGGTGGCGGCACACTTGGACGGCGAAGCGCAGCGCTGGTTCGCGACGGTGATGGAGACAGTCGTGCCGGGCGACGAGAACATCGACACCTTGGCGTCCATGCTGAGGGCGAAGTACATGACGAGACCCACGACGCCGGAGGTCGTCGATCTGCTCAACGCGTGTCGACAGATGCGGGGTGAGAGGTTGCTGGAGTACGCGCAATCGCTGCGCGAGATTGCGGAGCAGGGCGACATCAGCGAGGACTGGCTGGTGAGCGCGTTCCTGAAGGGCATGAGCAGCCCGATGGGTGCGACCCACGTGCGTGGACACCGCCCCAGGACGCTGGATGAGGCGGTCAACTTGGCGATCCCACACGTCGGCGACTACGGAGAAGGGTACGGTGTCGGACTGGATGCAGCAGCGAGCGCGTGGGATGCACGCCAGGCGTCCAAAGACCGCGGGGCCTCGGCGAGAGCGACGTCGGGTCAAGAGCAGTCGGGACTTGGGGGAAACTTGGCCGGAGTGGTGACGGGGTATGGACCAATGTGGGGGACTGCCTCCAAGCCACCGAGATATGATACCGAGGGACGATTGGTAGGTACCGGTAAGGCCGGGACGGATGAGGGGTGGAAGACCATACCGCCGGGATACCGGTTGGTACCGAACACCAGCGGGTTGGCGAATTCGAATTTTCAAACGCGTCGCGCCCCTGAGTCACAGATTGGCGCGCGCAACAAACGTCCAGGGGGCGAACAGCTCTCGAAGCGTCCGGGTAAGACGTATAAGGTCGAAGGCGCAGCTGTTGCTGGTGGCGGCAACGGCGGAGGCGGTTCAACGGAAGAGGGACGTTTGGGGCAAGAACCGATGCCCCAGACCCAGCCCTGGCGACGCGCGAGGGCCGACTCAGGAACCATGAGCGGTACCTGGAACGGCGGGCGCAGCGGACACCATTCACGCCCCGCACGGGCACGTTCTGCTTCTACTGCGGCCAGTCGGGCCACTTCGTGAGGGACTGCGACCTGAAGACGGCGGACTTGGCTGCATCAGGACGCGGCGCACAGAACGCGAGTGCCGAGGATGGTGATGCGGGAAACGAGCAGCGAGCATAAGGGCCCCGGCCTTATCGCTCGCTCGTTCTGACTCGGGCAAGAAGGAGAAGAAACGAGGACGACACCGGCGCGGTAGGCGACGGTGGGCGAGAACGTCTGCCCCAGGTTCGGTTGGGCAAGACGCGGGACGTCGAGAGGCCGAAGACGGAAGACGTCGCGAGGGCGATGGCGGAGGACGTCACGAGGACGAGGCTGTTTCGGGAGGAGTGGTGCTAGGGGAAGCGGGATGCCAGTCTGGGGATGGCGCCGTGCCGCCAGTGCGCGTGCCTACCCAGGCTGAGCAAGAAGACACGGCGGCAAGGACGAGCATTGCGGTATCACGGGCTGGGGATGGCGCCGTTCGACGAGTACGGTCGGTGCTCGAAGGTGGCGAGTCCGTACAGCGGCGCGTGCGATTCCAGGGCGACGAGGACGGTGCCGGCACGTTGGTCACCGGGGAGAAGACAAGCGCAGTGGACACGGCGGCGGAAGGCGACGCCGATGCGAAGAGTAGCGTCGAGACGGGGCGTAGCACCACGGCGAAGCCCAGCGACGGTGATGTCGTTGTCGGTGACAGAGAGGGTGGCGTGGGCAGCATGGAGGACCAGCAGTAGCACAAGCTGCCGCACCGACCAGCACGGCAGCTAGAGACAAGGACGGAGTGCTAATATAAGTTGGGGCTGCGCGAGTGGCTCCGGCGCGGGGACGTAAGTTGAGTCCTCTGCTACCACCGAGTGTTGACGTCTTTGGTGTGTGAGCATGTGAAGAGAACAAGTAAACAACGAGCTATACGAGAGTACTGTGCAGAATAAGCACTCTGCTTGCTGGCTACTGTATTGATACGAGTACATACACACATTATGTAGGGTATGCAGCTCAATGCGTTCATGGGTATGCAGCTCAATGCGTTCCACTTGTACACATACCTTGGCGAGACATGCTCTAAGGATTCAGGAAAGTGTTGTCTGCGAGAAGGTTTCAGATGATATAATTCAATGCATGTATGCTCAAGTCACCCCTAACATCCCGCTCTGGTGTGGTGTTCCGCACTGTTGTCGAGTAATTAGCATCCTAGTTTACATAAATAGAGAAGTCAGATAAATCGGTAATCGAACACATCTTCTTCTTCACCTAGTCAACCCGGTGTTGCGTTATACAGTATTACTGGCGGTCAGGTCAGGCCGGATATCGATCTGTTGATAAGGCATAATTCCTAGTAGTATCCAGTGTAGTTTCGTCGTTACTAGTAAGATTATGTCCAATTCAATTGGTGTTGCTCGCACTTGGTCGAAGTAAAGCGAAATGCAGAATGACTGGAATTGAAAAAGCTTCACATGCAAGGAAAAACAAAGAGAGCTCCGGCTAGCCCGCCCTTGAGCTTGAAGATGCAGTTGCCACTGCGACGCGTGCCTGACCGTCGGACACTCGTGCCTGACCGTCGTACTCCTTCCGCAAAACACGCGTGGCTGGCCGTCACCCGGAGATCCTTGGCTTGTCGTTTGGCATTGGGCAAGCTGTACTTGTTGAAGTTGCAGCTGCTGGTAGCGGGCTCCAACCCCGCTAGTAGCAGCTGCTGGAGCCAGCTGGCGACAACACCGCCCTCCTGAAGCACTAACCGTTGAGCAACGCCTGCAACGCCAACGCCGACGCGAGCATCTTGGTTTTGGCGGTGCGACGGTGAGCGCGAATGAAATGTTTCACAGGAACATCTTCCAGCAGTGTAGCAGCAGGTTCCCAGGAATCTTCGGCACTCGAGAGACCACGCCAGTTCGCCAAGAGCTCAAAGCGTTTGTCAACCTCGCTGTAACGCGAGTCGAGGAGCTCCGCAACGACGTGACCTTCGCTATTGTGAGCGATGTGGTGCAGCAGGTCCTCCGTAACATCCAAAGTCGCATCGCTGTAGAACTTGAGCCTCGATGCGTGCACTTCACGCTCGTCGCCAGTGATCAGGTTCTTCACCGTAAAAATCCAGGACGACACTGCCTTGACGACTTGAGCAGGGCCACACCATTTAACGCGTAGCTTAGCGCGCGTGTGCGCCCAGACGTCCGCGTACAGTACATAGTTGCCGATGTCATATTGTGCCATCGCCATGCCGGCGGTACGAGCGCTCTTCCTTCCTTTGGCTCGGGCAGCGCGGCTGGCCTGCACGACAGACTTTTGCATATTGTCCAGAGCTTCACGGAGCGCGTCGAAGACCTCCTCACGCGTCGACGTAAGCGCAGAAATCGTGGTAGGTTCGAGCGGCACCGGCAACGAGATGGCGTCCAGGGGCGACATGGCAGGGAGACCAGTCATGACAGTCACAGGAGCATGATCACCGAGAGACTTGGCCGGGGTGTGGTTGAGGGCGAGCTGCGCCACTTTTGTCAGGCGGGGCCAATCTCGACGAGTAGACAGCCTCCATTCCGAAAGCAAAGACCGAAAACAGCGCAGCGCCTCACGCATGACGACCTTCACCGTTCCATTAGCCTACGGACACCGGGCCGTGGTAAAGTGGTGGTGAGCGCCGAGGGAGTGCTGCAACGATTGGATCACCTCATTTTTGAAATGGGTGCCCTGGTCGCTAACCCAAGACAAGCCACGCCGAAGGCTGCAAACCAATTCATCAAGCACGTGTAGGTCGTGTCCGCTGTAGCTTCAGGAACTGCGAAGAACCACACATACTTCGAGGCGTCATCCTCGATAACCAGAATGCACTTGTCTTCGCCGGTGGACGCGCCCATGAAAAGGTAATCCCAGTGAATGAGTTCATTTGGACGTTCCGCATGCATGACTTCCCCCAGTTGCCGAGGCAGCGGAGGGCCACCCACAACACTTACACAGTGCAGGCAGCGGCGAACAAAATACTGCACATCGGAGACGATGTCCACCCACCAAAACCGCCTGGAGAAGGCAGCCACCGTGGTGTCGAGGCCGCGGTGGCCGGCGACACCAAAATGTCCGACAATGCCGATCCGTAGCTGAAGAGACCCAGCCGCCGCGGGGACCCAGACTTGTCCTTCAGGAAGGCGGGCGATGTCCTGAGCGTCGACGTGGAGCGCTATGTCGGTTGGGCGATCAGCGCTTTGCTGAGAAGTCAATACCTCGACCGTCGTAGGCCACTGGAAATCGTCATTGAGCGTCGGCGAGTACTCGTAGGGAACGAGACGGACGGCGCAGATCATCGGCAGAGAGGAACCCCATCATGAAAGTAAGTCGGCCCAGACGTTGTCGTCTCCAGCGATGTCACAAATCTCATACTCATAGGCCATGATGTTGTAGACCGCCTCCATCAAATCCACGAGTGGTTGCGTGAGTTTGTTGTGACCGGGGGTTGACATCCTCATCCAGCCAAGAGCACATACAAATTGCTGGAGATCCTGGCCCGTCAAAGCCTGGAGCAAAGAGATTCGACCAGGGTCGTGGCGGACACCGCTCTTGGACACCACGCGACCGCACCACTTGGCTTCTCGGAGGTAGAATGAATACTTTGAAGGGTTCAGCTTCAGTCCCTTGGTAGCACACACCTTGAGCACACCACGTAGGAGGATGAGCAGACCCTCGTCTGACTTCTCGTAGCCGAGAAGGTCATCCAGCCAAATCAGTAACCCATTGTTGTAACGGGGTAAGAGATACCGTCACTAGCGTACACTGTAGATAAGAGGAAGCTTGCAATAATAAGCTCAAGTCTTGTCTTTAGGGTAAAATCAACTCTGTTTATGTATGGGACGGGGGACGGAGGCCCCCTTACCCTTGTGAACCACTCAAATCTAAGTCTGCACCTGATTGGATGAAATGGGTCTGGTTCCCCACTTTCAACCAATCAGAACATGACAGCAGGTAACACGCTAGCCGTGTGACTGCACCTACTTTTGTGTATGTACCTATGAAACTTCTACCTACTTATGTAAATGGGCCCTTTACATCACCCTCCTCTCGAAGTTGCGCTTAAGCGCGGGCACGGAACTCTCGAAAAGACATTCATCACAACGGCGAAAGAGCCGACGGCAACACTCGGCAACGCGCGCTGAGCGACAGTGGCGATGTCGAGCTCAAGCGACGGAGACCGGCGGGCGGCCGACGCTGAGCCCGGCGCCGTCGTTCGTGTCGGCGCCCCATGCGATGGACCACGAGCTCAAGCCCTGGGAGCTCTACAGCCTCCAAGGAGCCGAAGAACCGGAATCGCTCGACACGATGAAGCCGTACTTCACACGGTACGGCGCAGCGAAGAACAAGGGGATCAGCCACGCCTACACGCACGACGCTCTCCAGCGTTCGTGGTGCGCCTTCATTCGTCGCTGGAACGTGAGTCGACGCGAAGGGTGTCCGTTCGCGTCGTGGCTCAAAGCGCGGGAGAAGCGTCGAGGCGAGCACTCCATGACGGCTCTTCGGGAGCGCATCTGCAGCATGGCAGAGCGCGAGTGGCGCTTCTGCTACGTTCATCTTGTCGAAGGTTGCGAGAACTGCGCAGCGACCTGTGATCGGCCGACGCGGGATCAATGGGAGAACCAGGTGCGGACCTGGCTTCTTTCGGAATACGAGCGGCGCTGGATCGGACGTTACGAGCGCTCGCGCTCGGAGCTGGAGCGAGCGCGCCTACGCCGTGGACGTGAGCGCTCTCGAAGCCGTGATCGTCATGACAGTCGCGGCCGAAACCGCCGCGACCCTTCGCCGGAGTTTCGTCGCAGCCGCAGTCGTGATCGAGGGTGGCCTTCGGCTGGGGCACGCGAGCGCAGTCGCTTGCGAGGACGCGGTTTTCCAGCGCGTCATCGTTCGTCTTTGCCAGCGCGAGTGTGGCCTCATACTCGCGCACAACATCCGGGATATCTTGCAGCAGGCGACTACGTGGCTCCCACGTATCCTCCGCTGGCGACTATCCCAGCCAGCGGACGCGATTGTGCTTCTCAGGGGTACGCGCGTGGCTTCTCGTCGACTTCGACGGCGCATCACTATCGCGAGGACCTTCCTCGCGACTCCGGCAGCCGTCATGGTCTACGATGCGCTCGGCAATCCAGCGCTGATCGCCAGCTGCGTCAATCAGCGGGGGTGGACCATCGCGACGGTAGGGCGGAACATGGGGGCGAAACGTTGGGCGCGACCATTCGACTCGAACAGCCGCCAGTTTCGTCGGTTTCATCGGCCAAGTCAACTGCGCGCTCGGATCGTGCTGCGTCTGTGCCTCGGGTGACGATCGAGCAGTACCGGATAATGATGGCCGAGGCGGAGCAGGCCCGGAACGACGCGCTGGACGCGCAGAACCGTGCGGAGAGCGCTCGCACTCGGGCGAGCGCGGCCGAGGCAGTGGAGGAAGAGTCTCAGCGCGATCGATGCACGCTGGTAGAGCGCCTCCGTCGTCTGGAGAGGGCTACATTCGGAGCACCGCAGGCGGAACAGTCTGCGCGTGAGCGTCAGCGACTTGGGCCAAGCTGGCGTCAGCATCGACGTCATGGGGGATCGGACTACGAGCCCACCCGCGGCGCTGCGGACGGGAGTCGGGGACAACAGCAGGGAGATACGGTTTGAGGCGCCCGACGTAGAACGTCGGGTGGAGACGCATAGCAGTCGGTATGTCTAGCGTGCAGGCGTCTCCCAGCACTTTGATAACCTTGAATGGACCGATGTCAGCTTGTTCGCGCCAAGGTTCGTAATTGCTGTCGATTGGATTCCGGTGGTCGACAGCAGGACTCGGTTTCCTTTGTGGAAGACGCTCGTGTTCTTCCGGCCTCGCTGGTCTGCGTACTCTTTCTGCTTGTCCACAGCAGACTGCAGCACATCACGCACGAATCTCGTGATGGCTTGACGACGCAGCATGAACTCCGATACCGCTGCGGAGTCGATCGGCGAAGCAACTTCGTGTGGGGCGAAGTGGCCCGGCAGGGTCAGATTCGGGCGCAGTGTCGGTCGATCTTCTAGCCTTCGAACGCGTCCGTGATGCAATTCCACATATGGCATCCGTTGCCGTAACCGGTTTTGCCGCGCCCACCGGTTCTGCTACCGGTGGAACTGACGCCACAGTGTTGCTGCTATTCCCTCGCGGCTCGGCTGCACTCGACACCAGTGCCGGGCGGTTCGGCACTGCATCCATTCCTCCCCCACCAAGAGTGGAGCGCACGGAGCCGGACGAAGACCCGAAGGCGAGCGTCGCTGGAAAGCGCGGATGCCGCGCGTTGTTGATAAAGAACGGCGTCAAACCTGTCGACGCATGGACTGCGTTGTTGATCCCAGCGAACTCGGCGAGCGGCAGGAACGTACTCCACGACGGAAACGACGTGGCGTAGCTGCGAAGGACATCTTCAACGACTCGATTGACGCGCTCCGTTTGCCCCTCCGTTTCAGGATGAGCTGCCGGCGCCATCAACGAGCGCGTGCCAAGCAGTTCGAACAATCGATCCCAGAAGGTCGATGTGAAGCGAGGGTCGCGGTCAGAGACGATGGATTCCGGCAGGCCATGATGCCGGAATATGAGGTTGAGGAACAGGGACGCAGTCGCCTCAGCTGTCACTTGGGCTTCGACAGGAGCAAGACGGACCATCTTGCTGAAGCGATCGACGATGACAAGGGCGCCCGTGCGGCCCTGGTCGTCCGATGGAAGGCCGAATACGAAGTTCATGCTGACAGATCGCCACGCTTCCGTGGCGATAGGCAACGGGCACAGCGGAGCTTATGGTGATGGAACTGGCTTGACGCGCTGGCAAGTCTCGCAAGTCCGAACCCATTTGCGAATCCACTTGTACATCTGAGGCGAGGCCGATGAAACCTTTGTCGACCAGGGGGGTTCGTATAGCGCAGCCCAAGACTGTTCCCCAGGGTGTAGACCCAGAGAATCGACTTGAGAGTCAACAGCAAGAAGATAGACCCAGAGATTCGCAGCCGCAAAGCTTTAAACCCTGAAAATCACACTCCTTGGTTGGCGTGGGTACCTTGTGTAATCCCTGTCGACTCGTTTGTCTTCGACGGAACGGCACTCCACCGGTAGTAAATGTAGCCTCGAAGAAGTGCGGGAGTGCACGTCTAATCCAGAACGCACCTCCACACCAAAGGCAAACCCAGAGAATCAGATCCCCCGTAACCCAGAATATCACGAATTCAGGGTCCAGGATTTCAGTCAACTCTGGGACTTGGAACTCAGAAGACACCTTACCCAAATGCCCTCCTAGCTCGATAAAACCAACAAATACAGAGTATACAAACACTACAACTAGCCGTCACTTATTCTTTTGGACCCTTGGACGGTGGGTCACACACACACTAGGCTCACTCGAGTCTGAAATTCAGGGGCCTAGCTCCCCTGAGACTCACACAAACGCGCACCACCTCCAATAAAGGAGGAAAATAAAATCACTATCAGTTACCTTCCCTTCACACAAGCAGTCAATACAAAATCCTGGAGGCGACTACCTAGCACCCCAGAATACCCTCTGGAATAATATGAAATGGGCTACCACGAGCACAGCAAGTGACCCAACGAGGATATCGAATAGATGGGTCACTCCAGGAAGCTCAAGGCCGTCGCTGGTCCCCACCTAACTGGACTTGAGTTGATGGAGTCCACACAGACGGCTGTCCTTCGCCGTTGATGTGCCCTTAGCGTCCCGCGGTCGTAGTCTCGGGTCCTCCGGATTTCCGTCGGCAGGCTTGGCCAAAGTCACTTGCGCAGTACAGGGAAAATTGAACTATGTTTGTCTATTATCAGCTACTTCTCTCTCTTACTTCTTCGGGCAAATATCTTCTGTTCACTATGCTTGGGGTCAAATGTCTTGTCTTGAGTATACCTTGGGTTCAGCGGTCCAAACTTGCGATCGGCTTTGTCGCACGGCGTCGAAAGTGCCAATTGCGGGTCCTTATACTTGGTTTAGTATGGTGCAGGACTCCCTCTCGACTCCTCGAAAGTATCCAGTCTGCGCATCCACAACGGTTCTTCAAGGTCACGCATCACTTTGATTGCAGACAGACTTGACTTCGAACTGACTCGAATCCCTGGGAATCAGGTGACACTCAGGGTCATCTTCTGAAATCCTGGGAATTCTGAGGAATCTTGGGGAACTGTGGGGATTCTTGGGTGTTGGCTCGGGAAACACTTAAGTTCAGTATAGAGAGTCTGGATTTATGGTCCAAACCCAGAGAATCATCTTTGGAACTCTGGGTCACCTGTACTCAGGGAGGTGAACTCTGGGTCATCGTGCGGCATCCTGGGTTTCCGAGCAGCACTGTGGGTAACAAGTCTGCTAGATTGCAGGCCTGCGTGCATCTCCACAAAGCCACACTTTTAGCGGGTTTAGCGGCCTCCTGCGCATGATCACGGTGATAGTGGGTTGATTCTCAGGGTAATTTGATCCTCTGGGGCACTCTGAGCCACAGCAAGATGAGGTATACTCTGGGATACATTCGCCAGAGACACTTTTCGCCAAACTTTAGGCACTCATCGTAAGGGAAAGTCTGCGGCTGGACTGAGTGTTCTCTGAAATCCTGGGCGTGCACTCCCAGGGTTCATACTTCCAGCCAGTTGGGCCCATCTGCGGTCAGGCGCTGGATTCATCCCGAGAAATCACTTCTCTCCCACAGTCGCTATCCATGTCACACGGGTACAGCCGCGCCGTATCCAAGTCATCCACCAATCAGCATCCGATACAAACTCCAAGCCATCAGGTGACGGCACATCGTCGGCAATTTTCTGGGGACCGCCTCGTGTCACATCCGAGGCCAATAGAAGTCCCTCGAGATCGCCGCGAACGTCTTCTCGCGGCCAAAGTGGCCATCCACTGGAGCGTCATGATACTCGTGGACGAGACGAGCACGAAGGTCGTCATCGGCGGGGATGACGACGCGCGGAGGATCGAAGGCGTCCATTGTGAATGTCAGCAATCGGTCATCGAGCTGGTATCGCTCGATGTGACTGCGCGTAGGGCGTGTCAGCTTCTTCAATAACTCTGCACGCGGAGTACGGAGGTGCGCAATGATGTTGGCGTAGAACGGATCGTGTTCGTACGCATCAGCAATCTGCTGGCGCAGTGGCAGAACTGGAGTTGTAATCGTCGCGTTGATACCCAGAGCGATGCAACATGCGCAGCCTTCATCTTCGTCATCGTCGTCAGCAAGTTGCTGACCGACTAGTCGTCGTGGGTCGTAGTCTGGTCGGCGGGACAGCGCGTCGGCTAGGATGTTGTTCTTGCCGGGCTTGTAATGCACCACGAAATTGTATTCGGCGAAGAACGAGAGCCATCGTGCCATGCGCTGCGATAAGTGTGGAGTCTTCATTGCTGTGCGCAGCGGCGCGTGGTCCGTGTACACAGCAAATGTCTGCTCTCCGAGCAAGTACACCCGGAATTTGACCAGGGCGTAGCGCATAGCGAGGAGCTCCTTGTCGTGGACGGGGTAATTCCTCTCGGCGGGCTTCATTTGTCGTGACTGGTAGCTCACGACGCGTTTGTGGCCCTCATCGTCGAACTGCATCAGCGCGCAGCCGATTG